TCGCACACTATACATTGACGTTGCTTTCTTTTTTCCCGTCGCAGTAGACCCTTTTAGAAAAAAGGCGCCCCGAGCACCACGGACGCGAACTACAGTCTGCCGCCATTGTGAGGGCTCCTCAGCAGACGACGCAGGCTGTGTGTCCCAGCGACCCTGATGCGCGTGTCTTGCAGGTACGTCACGGGAAAGCAGAGGCATTAATAGCCTCTGCTTCAACTGTCTTAAAGAAAATTACTACTTGCAATCGTTTGTGGTCTTTTTGAATACCTTCTCACAAAAAAAATTGGCCTTGTATCTGGAAATTTCACTGCAAATGTCGTCGAAAGACAATATTGCCACGTTCCATTTCTCAAGTTTTGGTATCGCCCAAACCCATTACACAATTCTCAGCGCAAACCGCGGCTGCAGTTTTCGAGAAGCTTCAGGACTGTAGTGGATCATTTCGATAAGATCACGCCCACTCCGTGAACTGTACAGATTATTCTGGAACCTACGTCACCGCCAGCGATAACGTTAGAACATTCGATGGCAAGAGTATAAATGCCGACGCACTTCGCCACTGATCGACGGCCGGCGTTGATCAGTGGCGGCGTTGATCGACGGCCGGCGCTCCGTTCATTGCTATCTGTGCAAGACTGCTATTGTAATCAGACTCTCCGTTTACCGGGCACAAGTTCGCCCCAATAAACAGTTAATTCCCAACATAAAGTTTTCTGTCTTCGGCCATGTCACGACCCCGTGACATCTGGTGGAGGTGCTGCTTTATTCATGTACCGGACGCCGCCGTCAAGCCGTGAACCCAGCCCATGGTGCTGAGAAGACACCGACGACAACCAGGAGCAGCAAACAAGCCGCCGACAGCAAGGTCTACCAACGGAGTATGGGCTTCTACAAGACAAGGCGCGGAAGACCACGGCCATGACCCCGACTGCAGCGACAATGACAACCGCAGCGTCACAACCCACGATGGTCATGCATCAACCCAGGGAACCACCAATTTTCCATGGGTCATCGTTCGAAGACCCGGAGTCCTGGTTAGAAACATACGACCGTGTGGCCGCCGTCAACCACTGGAACAATGACGAAAAGCTGCGTCGTGTGTACTTCTATTTTGAAGACACCGCAAGGACCTGGCTCCAGAATCGGGAATCCACGCTCCGAACGTGGGATGTCTTCTGCGGCGCATTCCTGCAAACGTTCGCGAGTGTCGCTCGCAAAGAGAGGGCCGCTGCGTTACTAGAGACCCGGGTTCAGCTGCCTAATGAAAATGTTGCCAATTTCACAGAAGAGATGACCCGCCTCTTCTGTCACGCTGACTCAGACATGCCTGAGTAGAAAAAATTTCGTCTTCTCATGCGAGGGGTCAAACAGGAGCTCTTTGCGGAACTCATGAGGAATCCACCGAACACCGTCCAAGAATTTGTATCCGAGGTGAACACTATCGAAAAGACCCTGGACATGCGCACCAGACAGTATAATCGTCGCCTGACTCCAAAATGCGCTGCCGCTCAAGCCATTGACTCCGACGACCTGCGTGATACCATCCGAGCGATCGTGCGGGAAGAGCTGAGGAAGCTGTTGCCTTCAGCGCAGCCTCAAGTGGATTCGATCGCCGACATTGTGCGAGAAGTTCGGCAATTACTTCGAATTCCCCAAGCACCGCTGCCCAAGCCGAGAACTATGAGCTACGCCGCTGCAGAGTGCTACTCCTCCCCGTCCACGCCAAAACGCCGCCCCATCACACTTCCGTCGCCAGACGACACCGCCGCCACCACCCCCACCGACGTCCTACCATTCGCCAGCGGGCCAGCGCAGTGCGCAGAGGAAAAGCGACGTTTGGCGTGCACCTGGCAACCGCCCGCTCTGCTACCACTGCGGCGAGGCCGGGCGCACTTACCGCCGTTGCCAGTGCCGACAGATGGGACTGCCTGGCTTCGCCGTCAATACACCATGTTCGCAGCCTGGAGAACGGCCACATGACATCGCCCACTACCTGACAGGAACTCAGTGGACACCACGAAGTCCTTCCCGTTCACCGTCGCCAAGCCGTCGCATGTCACCGCACCACCGTCAGTACTCTGGCCCAACGCGAGGCCGGTCTCCTAGCCCGTATCCGGGAAACTAAGGACAGCAACCGATGCAGGTGCGGTTGCTGTGCGACGAACTACCGAAGATCCTCCTCCGACGACGACGCGACGGAGCTTTCCGAACACAACGCCAACCTGGCAAAGCCCTGACGGCGAAAGCTCACTTACCGAAGGTGGCCCGACGACGCAACATGGAAGCAGCGGAACAAGCCGACGCAGCCGTGACCCGACGCCACGCCCTAACTGTAATGCGAGACGGTGAACTAGTGACCTCGACGTTCTTATCGACGGCCACAGTGTGACAGCTCTGGTCGATACTGCAGCCGACTATTCCGTAATCAGTGGGTCGTTCGCCACGAAGTTAAAGAAAGTTAGGACAGCTTGGGAAGGCCCCGAAATCCGCACAGCCGGAGGTCATTTCCTAACGCCAGGAGGAATCTGCACAGCGAGAGTCACAATTAACGGCCGTATTTATCCTGCAGACTTCGTAGCACTACAGCATTGCTAGAGAGATGTCATCTTTGGCATGAACTTCTTATGCCTCTATGGCGCATTCATCCTCTTAACAAATTCGATAACGTTATCTACAGAAGAAGCACTACCGCCGCCGTCAGGGAACCACGTCTTGAATGTGTTGAAAGAACGATTCACAATTCTGCCTCGCTCCAGCGTCATTATTTCAGTCGGTGCACTGAGATCACCTGACTTGGAAGGCGTCGTTGAAGGCAATCAGCATCTGTTGGTCACCCGCAATATTTGCGTCGCAAGAGAAATTGCAGAGCTGCGGGGAAGCAAAGCAACGGTTATGCTCACGAATTTCAGCAATGAATACAAACACGTGAACAAAGGAACAACGGTCGCATACATCGAAGAAATTGGGGACGCCACCAGTGCTTTCGCCCTCGCCGATTCTGCGGAACCTGCTCAGAGAAACCAAGCCCCTCCCCCAGCTTTAGACGTCAATCCCAGCCTTCCGAACAATAAAAGAACAACTCAAGACCCTGCTTGCTTGCTTGCTTATTCCTTTCTTTTGTGGCTCTCACCCACTAAGGGGGATTGGCCAAGATGCCGGTGGTTAATGCAAGTCAATACCTCTAGGTTTTCTAGACTAGGGGAATATGTTTACTGTGTTTTGACTGTGAAATTAATTTGGCGCAATGTAAAAAAAAGAAAAAAGGGGGGAGTAGAGAAATAATAAAATCTGAGGTGTAATCGTTATATGAAATTCTTCTGAAAGTTGAATCATTGCAGTGTATCAGCTAAATAATAAATGGTAGTGTGACTAGTAAAATTAGAAAGCTGATCACTGACTCAGCAAGGTAATCTTCTTGTGTTATATAGGAATTCGCAGAGAACCCCGCAGATGTTCCTGCGGGGTTCCCAATGAATCGGCCCCAAAAGACAAGATATTGGAAGTATTAGGTGATATTCCTAGTTTTTTAAATAAAATTTCGAAACAATTTTTTCTTTGTTGTTTTGACACGGTCACATGTGATAAGAATATGGTCGATATGTTCAGGTTCGTTACAGTTTGAGCACAGAGGAGTGGCACCAGACCAGACCTGTTTAAGCAGAAATTAAGAGGTCCTGCTCCTGCAATACGAAGATTGCTTTTCGTCGTCGTCGAAAATTCGGCAGACTCCAATCATTAAACATCGCATCATAACCGAGGAAAATGCCAGAGCACTCCGTCAGGGTTCGTACAGGGTTTCGACGCGAGAGCGCGAGGCCGTAAAGACACAAGTTGATGAAATGCTACGGGACGACATCATCCAGCCGTCCAAGAGTCCATGGGCGTCCCCCGTAATGTTATTGAAGAAAAAGGATGGAACCCTACGTTTCTGCGTCGATTATCGCCGCCTGAACAAAATCACAAAAAAGGACGTGTATCCTCTCCCACGAATAGACGACGCACTGGATCGGCTTCATAACGCCAAGTACTTTTCGTCAATGGACCTCAAGACTGGCTATTGGGAAATTGAAGTCGACGAAAGACACCGAGAGAAGACTGCGTTTATAACACCGGACGGCCTCTTCGACTTTAAAGTGATGCCCTTCGGTCTTTACCTAAGGGCAACACTGTAGTCAGATGCGTTCAAGCACTCTCGCACTGGTCAACTTGAAAGCTGGCTCGCCAGCTGTTGACTTGGAGGCAGTTTCGGTCTGTGCCATGCCCAGCCTGGAAGTGGGTCGCAAAGTGGAGTTCGGGTTGCCAGGTGTGAAACCCACCTAGCGGCCTTTGTGTGTTTCCGTCACGGGGTGTTCCGCAAAGCTTACGGAGAGTTCGCTGCAGGGCATAGATGTACCGCCACGCCAGTGCCCCTCGGGAACTAGGTATCTGAGAGGGAGAACGCTGATGCAGGACACAGCTGTAGGTGTCGGCATAGTCCCTATCCGTCTCAAGGCAGGGAAGTGTTAGAGAGCCTGAGTACTTATGTATGTGTATGATGTGTTTCGCACAGCCGGTGTCCGCAGTTTACAGCGAGTTAGCGGATGTGAGGTAGTCGCAGTGAGTGGAAAGTGGGTGATATAGACTGGTAACTTAGCGCACCATTCCGACCAGGGTTGCTGCTTGGCGCGCTCGTAGACATGCCAAATCTTAGCGGCATCATGAAGGTTATCGACGGCCACCAGCCGTTTGCTATTCTCTGACCTGCCATCGAGGGTGCCGAGCGAGCTTACGGTCTTGACCCACAGGAATACGTCATCCTCAAAACCACAGAGCTCCTGGAATTCCCATACAGCAGCTGATAGTAACGAGCTTTGGCAGGACCCAGGAGTTCCCTCAACAAAACAGGACGAAATTTTCGCTAGCGAGGATTTCGTCCGTATGACGTCTATGTGTTTGTTGCGCGAAGAACTCGAGGGCCTAAGGGCGGGCTCCTCGGAAACTGTAAAGACCCCGGAACTTACGCAGGCCACGGTTAGAAGATACCAAGCTGCCCAATTGGTGCGACAGCGACAGGCGCGTGGCAGTGCAGATGGGCAGTGCTGCATCATCGGGTAAGCCGCCCTGGGAGCCTTTCGCGGCGGCTGCGGAATATGTGATACTTGCGGCCGTTAGACATATTAAAAAATAAAACTACAGAATGCAATAATATATACAGATTCCATAGGCGTAGTAAAAGCTCTAAAAACTCTTAAAAAGCACAATAACTCTGACCTTGTCTCGTTTTATTCTCTTTTTTGCACAGTCTACTTATCCAAACAGTGTGTTGTAGTCTGCTGGGTGCCAGGACACCGCCATATACAAAGCAACGTTCTGGTGGACCAGCAAGCTTAATCCGCCAACAAAACCGCTACTAATTTATTGATGCCAATTCCTGCACTCGACTTGAAACCTTTTCTAAAACGAAAGGTCGGGGGCTATTGGCAGAGCACATGGGACACACACACAGGTAATAAAATGCATGTCATCAAGCGCAACTTGGTCATTGGCCACCAGTATCAAAATCACCCCACACAGAAGTAATACTTACAAGGTTAGGAACAGGACGTAAATACACTACACATTCACTTCTTTTGTCTGGTGGCGATCCACCTTTGTGTGATATAGGTGTGGCGAAGCACTTACCGTACTTCACATTCTGATCCAGTGTAAAGAATTATAGAAACAAAGAAAACACTTTTCATTACCCTATATACCGACAATAGATACACTTCATCCTGCAATATCCTGGAACCACCGAAGAGGCATTGACGTCATCCGCGGTAGCTGCAGCAGCAGTCGGGTCGTGAAGTCCATGATGGAGGGAGCGTGGGCGGCATTCCTATGATGGAGCCGATACCCGCACTGCCGATGACCCTTGAGGACATGGACAGGTGGCGTTAGCTGCAACTTGACAGGGTGCGTCAATGTAATGGACGAAACAACATACAACGCCCGTTCGTCGGGCTCTGGTGGACGAAATCGGCTGTTTTACATGGGTGTAAAAACGACACTGGTCCCGTCGTGGTGTTGCGAGTAGCACGTGTTTCTCCGCAGCGATTGCCAACGCTGAAGATAGCTGCGAAATGGTCTAGGAGTGGTCGGATGCATCTTTGATGGCCTCTTACACTCATACGCATCAGTTTCGCCTGGCGAGCGCAGCCGACATGGAAGATACGACAACAACCCTAGTCGCACTTGCAGACCGCAACAATGTGGCATGCCTAAGCTTTGCTTTGCGACGTCTCCAATATGTAGCTTTTCTCGTAGGCAAACATGTGAGGCTTCGACCGATGGTGCAGTCAGATATAATATGCGCACAGATGAGCCATTCTGTTCAGCAACCATAGCTTTGGAGAAAGTCTTATGCTGTACTGGTAAGTCCACCTTGAAAATGCACTTGCCACTTGATTTTCCTCGTTCGGCGCAGTGTTCCCTAGTTTGTCACAGGCTCCGAATTTATGTGGTGACTTCTCTTATAGCCGACGCTGTTGTGGCAACAGAAGATATATCTCGTTTCGTATATTTCTGGGCTGGTAGTATTCGTGGCATGGCGGTGCGTCGAATATCAGCGTTGTCGGGATTTGCGTATGACCCAATAAGGCTGAGCTTTAGTTAAGGGAACGTAGTGCGCTTTCTTTTGGCTGTGGTGAACTTACGTTGAATCACGCCACAGCGCCGAGTATGTCTGTATATATTAGCAGTTGCCACTACGCGACAGCAGCTGCCACACATCCTGTCATGCTCATCAGTTCATTAGTAGGTACCCGCTTTTTGAACTTCAACCACTGTTCATGGTTTTAAATTATGCATCTGGCTTTCACCCCATACACCAACCGAGAAGCTGATCTGTAGCATGATTTCTGCACTGAGGTCATGACTGCGGTGGCTACTTCCTCACCATGGTATAATTAACACGACCTTTTGCTATTCAAACACGCTGCACAAATTTAATGCCACTGTCATAATTTAATACTTGTGTATGTTTTTGCCCGTGTTACTACGAGGAATTTTAAGACCCATATACAGCCACGTACCATATTGCCACGTTCCATTTCCCAAGTTTTTGTTATCGTCCCAAACACCACATGATTCTCAGCGCAAACCGCGCCTGCAGTTTTCGAGAAGGTTCTGGACTGTAGTAGATCATTTCGATAAGATCACGCCCACTGTGCGAACGGTACAGATTGTTCTGGAACCTACGCCACCGCCAGCGATAACGCTAGAACATTCGACGGCAAGAGTATAAATGCCGACGCGCTTCGCCGCTTGTCAGTAGTTGATCGACGGCCGACGTTCCGTTCATTGATATCTGTGCAAGACTGCTATTGTAATCAGACTCTCCGTTTACCGGGCACAGGTTCGCCCAAATAAACAGTTAAATCCCAACACGAAGTCTCCTGTCTTCGGCCACGTCACGACCCCGTGACATCTGGTGGAGGTGCTGCTTCGTTCATGTACCGAACGCCCCCGTCAAGCCGCGAACCCAGCCCACGTCGCGGAGAAGACACCGACGCCAACCAGGAGCAGCGAAGAAGCCGCCGACAGCAAGGGCTACCACCGGAGTACGGGCTTCTACAAGACAAGGTGCGGAAGACCACGGCCATGACCACGACTGCAGTGACAATGACAACCACAGCGTCCCAGCCCGCGATCGTCATGCATCAAACCAGGGAACCACCAATTTTCCATGGGTCATCGTTCGAAGACCCGGAGTCCTGGTTAGAAACATACGACCGTGTGGCCGCCCTCAACCACTGGGACAATGACGAAAAGCTGCGTCGTGTGTACTTCTATTTGGAAGACCCCGCAAGGACCTGGCTAGGGAATCGGGAATCCACGCTCCGAACGTGGGATGTATTCTGCGGCGCATTTCTGCAAACGTTCGCGAGCGTCACTCGCAAAGAGAGGGCCGCTGCGTTACTAGAGACCCGGGTTCAGCTGCCTAATGAAAATGTTGCCAATTTAACAGAAGAGATGACCCGCCTCTTCTGTCACGCTGACTCAGACATGCCTGAGTAGAAAAAATTTCGTCTTCTCATGCGAGGGGTCAAACAGGAGCTCTTTGCGGAACTAATGAGGAATCCACCGAACACCGTCCAAGAATTTGTATCCGAGGTGAACACTATCGAAAAGACCCTGGACATGCACACCAGACAGTATAATCGTCGCCTGACTGCAGACTGCGCTGCTGCTCAAGCCAGTAACTCCGGAGACCTGCGTGAAACGATCCGAGCGATCGTGCGGGAAGAGCTGCGCAAGCCGTTGCCTTCAGCGCAGCCTCAAGTGGATTCCATCGCTGACATTGTGCGAAAAGTTCGGCAATCGCTTCGAATTCCCCAAGCACCGCTGCCCAAGCCGAGAAGTATGAGCTACGCCGCTGCAGAGCGCTACTCCTCCCCGTCCACGCCAAAACGCCACCCCATCGCACTTCCGTCGCCAGACGACACCGCCGCCACCACCCCCACCGACGTCCTACCATTCGCCAGCGGGCCAGCGCAGTGGCAGAGGAAAAGCGACGTTTCGCGTGCACCTGGCAACCGCCCGCTCTGCTACCACTGCGGCGAGGCCGGGCGCACTTACTGCCGTTGCCAGTGCCGACAGATGGGACTGCCTGGCTTCGCCGTCAATACACCATGTTCGCAGCCTGGAGAACGGCCACATGACAGCGCCCACTACCTGACAGGAACTCGGTGGACACCACGAAGTCCTTCCCGTTCACCGTCGCCCAGCCGTCGCATGTCACCGCACCACCGTCAGTACTCTGGCCCAACGCGAGGCCGGTCTCCTAGCCCGTATCCGGGAAACTAAGGACAGCAACCGATGCTGGTGCGGTTGCTGTGCGACGAACTACCGAAGATCCTCCTCCGACGACGACGCGACGGAGCTTTCCGAACACAACGCCAACCTGGCAAAGCCCTGACGGCGAAAGCTCACTTACCGAAGGTGGCCCGACGACGCAACATGGAAGCAGCGGAACAAGCCGACGCAGCCGTGACCCGACGCCATGCCCTAACTGTAATGCGAGACGGTGAACTAGTGACCTCGACGTTCTTATCGACGGCCACAGTGTGACAGCTCTGGTCGATACTGCAGCCGACTATTCCGTAATCAGTGGGTCGTTCGCCACGAAGTTAAAAAAAGTTAGGACAGCTTGGGAAGGCCCCGAAATCCGCACAGCCGGAGATCATTTCCTAACGCCAGGAGGAATCTGCACAGCGAGAGTCGCCATTAACGGCCGTATTTATCCTGCAGACTTCGTAGCCCTACAGCATTGCTCGAGAGATGTCATCCTTGGCATGAACTTCTTATGCCTCTATGGCGCATTCATCCTCTTAACAAATTCGATAACGTTATCTACAGAAGAAGCACTACCGCCGCCGTCAGGGAACCACGTCTTGAATGTGTTGAAAGAACGAATCACAATTCCGCCTCGCTCCAGCGTCATTATTTCAGTCGGTGCACTGAGATCACCTGACTTGGAAGGCGTCGTTGAAGGCAATCAGCATCTGTTGGTCACCCGCAATATTTGCGTCGCAAGAGAAATTGCAGAGCTGCGGGGAGGCAAAGCAACGGTTATGCTCACGAATTTCAGCAATGAATACAAACACGTGAACAAAGGAACAACGGTCGCTTACATCGAAGAAATTGAGGACGCCACCAGTGCTTTCGCCCTCACCGATTCTGTGGAACCTGCTCAGAGAAACCAAGCCCCTCCTCCAGCTTTAGACGTCAATCCCAGCCTTCCCGAACAATAAAAGAACTCAAGACCCTGCTTGCTTTCTTGCTTATTCCTTTCTTTTGTGGCTCTCACCCACTAAGGGGGATTGGCCAAGATGCCGGTGGTTAATGCAAGTCAATACCTCTAGGTTTTTTAGACTAGGGGAATATGTTTACTGTGTTTTGACTGTGAAATTAATTTGGCGCAATGTAAAAAAAAGAAAAAAAGGGGGGGAGTAGAGAAATAATAAAATCTGAGGTGTAATCGTTATATGAAATTCTTCTGAAAGTTGAATCATTGCAGTGTATCAGCTAAATAATGAATGGTAGTGTGACTAGTAAAATTAGAAAGCTGATCACTGACTCAGCAAGGTAATCTTCTTGTGTTATATAGGAATTCACAGAGAACCCCGCAGATGTTCCTGTCGCTGTGTCCCAATGAATCGGCCCCAAAAGACAAGATATTGGAAGTATTAAGTGATATTCCTAGTTTTTTAAATAAAATTTCGAAGCAATTTTTTCTTTGTTGTTTTGACACGGTCACATGTGATAAGAATATGGTCGATATGTTCAGGTTCGTTACAGTATGAGCACAGAGGAGTGGCACCAGACCAGACCTGTTTAAGCAGAAATTAAGAGGTCCTGCTCCTGCAATACGAAGATTGCTTTTCGTCATCGTCGAAAATTCGTCAGACTCCAATCATTAAACATCGCATCATAACCGAGGAAAATGCCAGACCACACCGTCAGGGTTCGTACAGGGTTTCGACGCGAGAGCGCGAGGCCGTAAAGACACAAGTTGATGAAATGCTACGGGACGACATCATCCAGCCGTCCAAGAGTCCATGGGCGTCCCCCGTAATGTTATTGAAGAAAAAGGATGGAACCCTACGTTTCTGCGTCGATTATCGCCGCCTGAACAAAATCACAAAAAAGGACGTGTATCCTCTCCCACGAATAGACGACGCACTGGATCGGCTTCATAACGCCGAGTACTTTTCGTCAATGGACCTCAAGACTAGCTATTGGGAAATTGAAGTCGACGAAAGAGACCGAGAGAAGAGGGCGTTTATAACACCGGACGGCCTCTTCGAGTTTAAAGTGATGCCCTTCGGTCTTTACCGAAGGGCAACACTGTAGCCAGATGCGTTCAAGCACTCTCACACTGGTCAACTGGCTCGCCAGCTGTTGACTTGGAGGCAGTTTCGGTCTGTGCCATGCCCAGCCTGGAAGTGGGTCGCAAAGTGGAGTTCGGGTTGCCAGGTGTGAAACCCTCCTAGTGGCCTTTGTGTGTTTCCGTCACGGGGTGTTCCGCAAAGCTTACTGAGAGTTCGCTGCAGGGCACAGATGTACCGCCACACCAGTGCCCCTCGGGAACTCGGTATCTGAGAGGGAGAACGCTGATGCAGGACACAGCTGTAGGTGTCGGCATAGTCCCTATCCGTCTCAAGGCAGGGAAGTGTTAGAGGCCTGAGTACTTATGTATGTGTATGATGTGCTTCGCACAGCCGGTTTCCGCAGTTTACAGTGAGTTAGCGGATGTGAGGTAGTCGCAGTGAGTGGAAAGCGGGTGATATAGACTGGTAACTTAGCGCACCATTCCGATCAGAATCTCTGCCTGGCGCGCTCGTAGACATGCCAAATCTTAGCGACATCGTGAAGGTTATCAACGGCGACAAGCCGTTTTCGATGCTCTGACCTGTCATCGAGGGTGCCGAGCAAGTTGATGGTCTCGACCCAAAAAAGCACGTCATCCTGAAAACCATGGAACTCTGGTAATTCCCATGCAGCAGCTGATAGTAACGAGCTTTGGCAGGATCCAGGAGTTTCCTAAACAAAACAGACGTCATACGAACGAAATCCTCGCTAGCGAAAGAACTAGCCTACGTGGTGGTTGCGCGAAGAACTCGAGGGTCTAAGGGTGGGAGCCGCGTAAACTGTGAAGACCCCGGCCCTCACGCAGGCCACGGGTAGAAGGTACCAAGCTGCCCAGTTCGTGCGACAGGCGCGTGGTGGCGCAGATGAGCAGCGCTGCATCGTCGCGTCAGCCGCTCCGGAATTCCTTGGTGGCGGCTGTGGAATATGTGATACTTGCGGCCGTTAGACACAATAAAAAATAAAACTACAGAAGGCAATATTATATACAGATTCTCTAAGCGTAGTTAAAAACTCTGAAAGCTCTTAAAAAGCACAAGATCTTTGTCCTTGTCTCGCTTTATTCACTTTTATTAACAGTCTACTCAACCAAACAGCATGTTGTAGTCTGCTGGGCGCCAGGACACCGCTAAATACAAGGCAACGTTCTCGTGGACCAGCCAGCTTAATACGCAAACAAAAGCGCCTATACCAATTCCTGCACTCGACTGGAAACCTTTTCTAAAACTAAAGCTCAGGGGTTATTGGCAGAGCACATGGGACACACAAACAGGAAATAAATTGCATGTCATCAAACCGCAACTTGGTCATTGGCCCCAAGTATCAATATCACGCCACACAGAAGTAATACTTACAAGGTTAGGAACAGGGCATACATACACTACACATCCATTTCTTTTGTCTGGTGGCGATCCACCTTTGTGTGATATAGGTGTGGAGAAGCACTTACCGTACTTCACATTCTGATCCAGTGTAAAGAATTAGAGAAACAAAGACAACACTTTTCATTACCCTATATACCAATAATAGATACACTTCATCCTGCAATATCCTGGAACCACCGAAGAGGCATTGACGCCATCCGCGGTAGGTGCAGCAGCAGTCGCGTCGTGAAGTCCATTATGGAGGAAGCGTGCGCGGCGTTCCTATGATGGAGCCGCTACCCGCACTGCCGATGACCCTTGAGGACATGTACAGGTGGCGTTAGCTGCAACTTGACAGGCTGCGCCAATGTAATGGACGAAACAACACACAACGCCCGTTCGTCGGGCTCTGGTGGACGAAATCGGCCGTTTTACATGGGTGTATAAACGACAGATACTGGTTCCGTCGTCATGTTGCGAGTATCGCGTGCTTCATCGCAGTGGTTGCCAGCGCTGAAGACAGCACCGGAATGGTATGAGGAGTAGTCGGATGCATCTTTGATGGCCTCTTGAACTCATACGCGTCAGTTTCGCCTGGCGAGCGCAGCCGGCCCGGAAGATATGCCAACAACCCTAGTCGCACTTGTGAACCGCAACAATGGGGCAAGCCTCAGCTTTGCTTCGCGACGTCTCTAATATGTCGCTTTGCTCGAGGGCAAACATGTGAGGCTTCAGCTGATGGATGTTGTCAGATGGATGCGCACAGACGAGCCATTCTGTTCAGCGACCATAGCTTTGGAGAAAGTCTTATGCTGTATTGGCAAGTCTACCATGATGATTACACTTGCCACTTGATCTTCTTCGTTCGGCGCAGTGTCCCCTAGTGCGTCACTGGCTCCGCATTTATGTCGCGACTTCTCTGATAGCCGAGGCTGTTGTGGCGACAGGAGAATATAGATTTCGTTTTGTATATTTCTGGGCTGGTAGTATTCGTGGCATGACGGTTCGTCGAATATCAACGTTGTCGGGATTTGCGTATGACCCAATAAGGCTGAGCTTTAGTTAAGGGGACGTAGTGCGCTTCCTTCGGGCAGTGGTGAACTTACGTTGAATCACGCCAGAGCGCCGAGTATGTATGTATATATCAGCAATTGACACTACGCGACAGCAGCTGCCACTACATCCTGTCATGCTCAGCAGTTCATCAGTAGGGATCCGCTTTTTAAACTTGAATCACTGTTTACGGTTTTAAATTATGTACCTGACTTTCACCCCATATACTGACCGAGCAGCTGATCCGTAGCATGATTTTTGTACTGAGGTCATGGCTGTGGTGGCTACTTCCTCCCCGTAGTTTATGTATCACGACCTTTTGCTATTCAAACACTGCGCATATTTCATGCCACTCTCATGATTTAACACTTGTGTATGGTTTTACCCGTGTTACCACGAGAAATTTTAAGACCCCTATACAGCCACGTACCATATCATTGTTCACATCTCGTGTGCACTAAATTGACGCTCTTCGGCCATCAATTTATTCCTGCGCCGTAAACCCCCACGCATCAACTGTGGTGCAGCTGTCGGCTCCCAGCTTTTTTTTTTTGCTATGGCTATCTGATCTTTTTTCATCGTCGCCACTTGTTATATCACGTTGCCACTTATCATCGCTTCCTTTGATTCTTGAATTTCATTGTTTCAAACACGAACGTCGTTGCTCCATGTAGCAACAGTAATGTTGCACGGGATCGAAGGTGTATTCTATTCCTGGCATGGATAAAGGACAACATATTAAGGAAACATAGCACAAAACGAAAAGTAAGAAAGGACAGCAGAAAATTTTTGGGGTCATATAAAGCTCGACTTGTGCGTTTATGTTACAGGTTTTCTTGAGAAGCCTGAATGTCTAGGCACATTTTAGTAGAGATAAATCATCAGCACTCTTCTCAATAGGTTATCTTTGCTGGGAACAGCGATCACCCACCCTATATTTAGCCTATGTCGATGTTGAAGTCTATTGTGAAACCTTTTTTGTGCCACACATGTTTGGACTTATTCTTTGTGAAATCAGCAACTAGTGCGTTTATGAGCTTGAAATAATGCTAATATTTACCTGGTTGTCTTTGTATGAGCACCACTCTGAGCTAATTGATGCTTTCTATGTACAAGCCTTCGCTGTGCAAGTGAACAAATCTCCACGAAAGGTGTGCTCTAGCACACAATGGCGCCCTTATACAAACAGCGAAGCACACGTAGGAAAAAGCAAATGTTTATTTCTAACACAAACAAACCGAAGAAAAAATTTGAGTCTTGCAAAATTGGTACTTCTCGTGCTATTCACCTGAAAGAAGAAAAAAAAGGTAATCAATTGAAATTCAATGCACCATTTCTAGCACAATGTCGCTTCGAAAGGGTCACTTATGCGTAAGATGGCTTCATTTGTTGAATTTAACTACCCTTCCACGATAACAAAAACGTTGCTGTTGCATTGAGCAAGAAAATACACAGAAATGTTGGGAACGTAGCGACGATACAAGTTCCCGCACCAACATGCCTTGACATCGCAGATTTTACGCGTTCGTTATGCTTTGTTATGCCTAAAATTTAAAACGATTTGTTATGCTTAAAAATGAATTACGACTCTTTCATATTGAAATGAAGGATCTAAAAAGCAACTTGTCAAAATTATTGAGAATGTTTTGTGAATAAGCGGAAATGAAACCTTGAAGTCCATGATGTCACGTTGACATCCACGCATAGATTTTCCTAATTATACTCTAGAGGGAACTCTGGCACTAGTGTCTAAAGAAGCTGCAACGCATGGCGCTTTAGCGAGCATGGGAATTGTAGGTATGACATAGATTTGCCTAGTCTTCACACTTCGATTTCGTTCTGGCTTCGTGTGGCTTGAAGCTGCTTTTTCATGAAACAATCGGCAAATGTTCGACTTGAAATCGACTTCAGATTGACTTTAAGTCAGTTCGACTTCAAATCGGGTCACGCAGGGAAAGAACGGTTTGCTCTCTCTTTCGAAACGAAAGAGAGAACAACCGTTCTTTTTTCGTTTACCGACTTAGTTGCATTCGCCTCGAGACGACATCGTTGGAGATGCTCTTCTAGTGTGTGTAACTGGGACTGCAACCTTTTCCTTGTACTCGCCATCAGAATAATGTCGTCAGCGAAAGCCATTGCTGACATTACGAGGCCCTCACTCTCCAAAGAAATCGCACTTGGGAGCTGTTCGAAAAGTTCGTCCAGTGTCAAGTTAAAGAGCAGAGGTGATAATGGATCACCCTGTCTTACCCCTCTCGTAGGGTGGACCACCTTAGATAGGTTGCCATATGAGAGTACCATGGTGGCTCTTTCATAAAAATCTGAGACATATGCACAGAAACCCTCCGCAACTCGCTTTCGTCTCAAACCCTGTAAAATAGCTGGGTGAGCGACTTGGTCGAATGCTTTTGCAACATCGACGGAGGCCAAGGCCAAAAGCCTGAGCTTATGCCTCGCCTCATCAATAACTGTTTGTCGTAAGAGAAGGTTTTCTGCACAGCCGTGAGCAGGAATGAAGGCTCTTTGACGGCAGTCTAGTTTAATCGTTGACATTAGACGACGCATAAATATCTTATGCAACAGCCTCGTTAGAACATGAGAAACTGTAATCGGGCGATGTAATGAAGCCGAAGACGCTCCAGGCACCTTGGGAAGAAAAATGGTCCGAGCGTTACACAGCAAAAGAGGCAGTCTTTTCTGAAAGATCAAAAGGTTCAGAAGAACTCTAAGAACGAGCATAGGACAGCTGAGTGAAAGCGATCGATGTTCAGATGTGTCAGAGACACACATTACCCTCCCCCATCCCTTTCCATCACCTCCTGGCTCGACTGGATCGGCGCCGAAGGGGAAGAAGAACAGCGTCGACTGATCGCACAGGCGGTCGAAATGCTCGGCCTATAAATTTGGCTGAATAAAAGTCTATTACTACTACTACTAGGACAACTGTGCAGACTTCTGGAGGAAAACCCATCCAGTCCCGCCGCTGAGTTTTTCAGTGGCATTGCAGACTTAATCTCTTGTGCAGAGATGAGGAACCTAGGGTCTATCGACCCAGCTGTTGCATTGTTGCTTAAAGAGTGTTTGGAGGTTGGGGGTGCTTCAAGAATTCCCTGCCATTCTTCTAGAAAAGCATTGGGATCCTCTTTCGCGGATGACCCAGCTTCGTCCAGGATGTTCCGTATGCAAAACGAGCGATTCTTCTTATAAAGATTTTGGCATTGTTCGTATTCTCTCTTCTTTCTTTTAAGACGGCTTTCCTCAGTCGCGGCCGGCGTGGCGTGCATCTTCTCTGTACCCTCCTATCTGTGGGGAAGAAGTCAAGTAGGTAATTTTCAAGGGCAGTTGTGACATCGTCTCCATTCGGGAATCTCTTTGTCAATTCTCACAATCTAAAAGCTTGGAAGGAACGAGGTGGCTGTTTCCCCACCAGTGTTTGCAGCTCATCCACTATGGCAGCTCGATGGTCCACCTGTGAAGATGTAATGCCGCACGGTGCCCCTGTGTCTTCCTGAGCCTGTATAGACATTGACGAAGAACCAGAAACAGCTTGGCTTTGATCATCACCATCTCTCCTAAATTGCAAGTCTTTCACGAGATTCCGGTATTGCACTTGCCGCCTGTGGGACCTAATGCCGTCGAAAGTTCTTGTTGGAAATATCCTCGCCAATCGCTGGTTGATATTCTGAACACCCTCTTTAAGGAGTTGGACTTCATAGGCTGCCAGAGGGTATTCTTCCTCCCTTGTTTATCTTGGTCTAGTTCGTTCGATATCGATGTCAGCATTATAAGCCTCGATATGAGCATGACGTCTATGTTGGCTTAAACCAATCTTCGACATGAAAGAGCTTCCACATTCGGGGCAGGCATTGTGGTCCCTCTCCCTGTCCAGGACTGTATTTGATTCCACCATTGTCATGCCATCACTACTGTGATTGAGGGAGGAGTCCCAGAAGAGGCACCCTCGCAGAACGCGGGGTCCTCATTTCCATTGTCAGATTCGGAGTCCGAAAATAGGTCAGGCGGTAAAATGCGCCAACCGCTTGGCCTTGCGCCCGTGCTCCGCCAGTCTGACCCTTTGTTGCCGCCGGCAGGTCCGTGCGCAACCGCCGCAGTCCACACAGAAGGCGCTGAAGAGCCGGATGGGGCCGAACCGACAATCAAGCCTGACGCCTGATGTGTGCGGCTGGCTGTTTCGCACGCCACCACCGCCTCCAACACTCCGGCTGCTTGAGAGCCGGGAACACCCACCACAACGGGTGCTCTAGATACCGATGGAGTAGGTAACATAACGTACCTATATTTGATAGGGCTTCCCCTTTCTCCCATTCGTCCTGGTAACTCTTGTGGACTCATTCGTTGACCATGCTTCAACTGAGGCGACTTAAGCCTCCCCTCTATTCTTTCTGGTGGCATATCAGTACACTCTGCCCCAGACTCTGCTCCACAAGCAGCTTCTGCTGATCTCTCAGTATCATGATCTTCGGGAGATTCCAGTACTCGTGAATTTGCCTCTCCTGTCCACTCACATGTCACTGCATCCTCAGGAACATTTCCTGCCACTTTATTTCCAGTGTAAACTTGTTCGCCTTCAGTCTGGATCTCTGCACAACCATTCCAAACTCTAGATCCTTCATTGTACCCCCCATCAGGGATATCAAGTGCTAGAGCATCATCTCCTCCATCAGTCTCTGGCGATACCTTTCTTCCTGTCTCAGCAGCCTCCCCGGTGTCGCCACCACTCTCGCCCGGAACGCTAGGCTTCTCTTTAGCTTTGTGACCGGATCTCGCACGATGCACATCCAGCCCTCTCTGGGTTCCAAAAGACCGTTTGCAGATGTCAAACGTGAACAGGCTCCTTTCAACTGGGGCCGCTGCTGGCACCCTTCGCGAACAACTCGCACGAGTGTTGGGATACATTCCCCCAAGCTTGGTGCGGCTGCCTGTGGGCAGTCGCTTTCTCGAAAAAAATTCTTTTCAGCTGACAAGCCAAGCAAAAGAGGCCTTAGAAATTTCTCCCTAATGACCGAGGTGCCTTCCCTGTTGCACCGGCAGTCAATGGATCACTCAAAGGTAATGCTACAAAGAAAGCACGGTGGCAGGGGGAACCACGAGCAGGTAGTGATAGGACTTCTCCCCCCAGGGGTAGAAGGGGTAGGAGCCTCGTCAAGCTGCTAACATAGCAGCTTTTTGCTTTTATCCTTGCGTTTTCTTTTTCGCAGCTCTGTGAAGCAAATGCTCAATAAAACTGAAACTGAAAATTGAACTGAAATCAGAACACAGCAATGGCTTGTTCTGGTTTCGAATCGAAACCAGAACAAGCCACAAGTGCGTTCACGCCAACAAGCACGAAGACTAGGCAAAGCCACGTCATACCCATAAGTTTCCATAGTCGCTGAATACTAGGATTTTTGTGCAAAACTAGTAAAACTAATAAAAGAAAACTAGGGAAGCGTGAAGAATCAGGGAAGGGCGTTTCAGCTGCACTTGCGTCGTTGGAATACTGAGCCTGGAATGGAGCTTGGTCCTAAAGCACTTCCTCCCTATGTGCCCTGTTTCAGTTCTCTACCGTATGTAGGGAAGGATATTGTATCTCCACTAACGTCGTCCACTGTTTGTTTCGCTTACTGCGGCCTTCTCTATTTTTTGTGGATAAGTGGCGTGTAAAACTTCGTCACTTTGCAGATATGTTTAAAGTGGTATTTCAAGTTTATAGGGCTGCTTAGATGCAGCGACCTTCTGTGGCTGCTAGAGCCACCAACGGGACTGGGAATGAAGTATTTGCCTTATAGCGGAATCCTCAGCCTGCGTAAAGTACTTACACTACTTTAGAAAATAAGCACCAACACTGCTGCAGTCCTGTTGTGTTTTTAATTTGATGAGAACGTGATTCCTAGAGAGGTATTCATTAAAAGCAATAAATTTTCACTAAAAAATGAAAATCCGAAACGTCGAAGTCTCTCCTTTTTGAAAAGTAGAAAATGGTTTAATGAAGCTTTGGTTTACTGTTCCACCGATAATTCTTTCTCAAACACGCAGAATGCTGTGAAGTGTTCACTTATAAACTATCTTTGTTGATACGTACCACGGTGTGACAATAAAATTAGGGGACCCTTAAGCTTCGATTTTAAGAGTTGAACACCATAGCGATATTCTGTTCCTAGTGCGTACCTCAACCACTTAGTGCATGAAATCTTTTTACTCTTCCTGTGCACCCACTACGTTGCATTAAGGGTGTATTGGCGTTTGTGCCTTTTGTAGTATGACTGGCTTTAAACTATGAAGCCATTATGATAATTCCATGTTCTGACGCCCGATGGCAATGTACGCTTGTAACACGCAATATTACAGCAATGGTTCATGTTGTATTGTGAAACATGTATACAGGGCGCGTGTATTTGAAAAGCATGGAAGTTACTTTCGTTGCATTTCCAAGCAGAGTAAGTTATTCTCAATGTATTCACTAGCATAGGCGTGGCTGTGTGGATGAACACCCGCTTGCTACGCAAACGACTCACGTTTCGTTCCCACTCATAATTCTAATCCTTATTTCATTTGCATCTTCTTTTTATTTTTTAGTCATGCAAAGATGTGGAGGTCCGGCGTTGTCCGTCGTAGCCACCGCTATGGGGATCACGCTCTCGCGCTCACAGTAGTACTCGGCTTGCTCACTACATGTTGCTGCGGCGCTCACTCCCCTTTGATGCGTGCTGTAGTGTGATAAGAGACCGCTAGAGGCGCCACTATAAGTTGCGTTCGCTTTTGGCGCATCTCCTCTTTCACCGGCAGTGCGTATGCTTCGACTATGATCGATGAAGCGGGGGGATCCGTAAGCGGCTGCAGCACACGCTACAGTGAAAGTTGATGCCGAAGATCCACGGAAGCGTCGGAAAGAGGATTCTGAGCTGAGAGCCCATGAAGCGGTGGTGAAACGCGCACAAAGTGCTCATGACATCTTCACATTACGATCAACTGGGAAAGTTTTCACGATTTACCGATGTACTTCTTGAGCTTCGACCGCTCATCGTCATTCACTTTGTGGATGTGCTGCGTTTTTTTCGCTCACAACCGCCGACACCGCGATTGATGACGCTGGAATTTCTGCGAAACGAGCTCTTAACGTTATTGAATAATACTTACATGCTAAGGCATGCATGGCGTACAGTTGTGCGTGAATGTAGCAAATTAGGCTCACCAGTGCGCGTACTCCTCGTCGGTTCTGGTGCGCGGCATGTAGTCGTAGTGGCGCAGCGGCTGGTGGTACCAGTCGAGCTCCGGAGGCAGGTGGTACCGCATCAGGGTCGTGATCAGCATCACCGGCCGAGGACGCGAGTTTGGCGAGCCCTGTGTATCGGGTGACGTCAGGATGCAAAGCTTGCAGGCTAACGTCGTCAAGCCACAGCACAGTGGAAGTATAAATGCCACCCCTTGAACGTCGTAAGAAAGCCTGCTGCACGACACATGTCGTTTAGTAACTTCATTTAGAGTTTCTTTCGGCAAAGTTGGTTAATTATGGAGGAAGAGCGTACCAGCGGGATCTGGTGCACACGACAGCGCTTGCATATAAGGGTCGTTTTCCTCCATTTTGGCATGTTTGCACAGGCATTCCCTTCTTCATTTGGATTATTGAAATTCAGATTGTTTTTCTGAAGGTTGCCACTCGGCCAGCGTTGTTCATTGAAGCTCTGTTTATTAGTTTTTCGCTTGAATATCAGTAATAGGAGCACATACAGAAATAAGGAAAATATACAAAACGTTATATAACACTACGCCCAAGCGCTCCCAACAAGTATACTATATTATGAAATTAATTTTACCCATTAATTCAGCTAACTGCTCTCCGGTTCGCATTTCTTCGCTCACTCACTCAGCTTTCACACGCCCACCCTTTCACTCACTCGCTTGTACAGCCACTCACTCGATCGCCGATTCACTCCCTTCCTTACTCACTTACTCCCTCACTCCCTCACACTCACTCAGACCTACCGGCAGCTTCATCTGCCGCAGCGCCTGCGGCAAGTAGCAGGGCCCGAAGTAGCGATGTCCTTCGGCTGACACGACGCAGCCCTGTATCAAGATGACGTCCTGCACGGCCTCGTCCAGGGAGAACTCGATGGCGTAGTACAGGTTCGGCATGATGCCGCCTTCCAGGAACTGCTTCAGTTTGTCGTGCGTCCAGTCCTGTCACGACAATGTAGCCGAAGCATTGGACATGTTTAGCTGTTCGTCAGGAGCTGCCGTACGGACGCTGCCTCCCATTGGGAATGGCTGGCTGGCTGCGTCCGCAAGGCTGCTGGAGGCGCGCAACTAAATCGGTCTATTCGATCATTCCAGCGACTGTACGTGGCGCTGCGGAAGGTCGAAATGGCGGACGAGACGGTGATGTCGCGAGCGTTTATGTCAGCGTTGAAGAGCGTGAAGAGGCGTTCGTTGGTTCGTGACTACTGAGAGACCAAACTGCGTCGCAGTTTTATCACCGTGTGACAGCTTCGGAGCATGACTACATGGCACCGCCTGCGTTGCTGGAATGACCGAATCAAGCAAGAGAATCACGATGTTTATGCTAACGTAACACGCACCTTTTTATGCCTTTTATACCAAAAGTCGATCCTCGTGTTACAGTCAAACATTCATGTGTCTATATTGTGCTTCTGAACGCAATGAAAAGTCACCCCTCGTGTTACAGCAATAGTAATTTTCTTCTTAGCTAGCTGACGCCGTTCTAGAGAACTGCACACCTGGTATCGTTTGTGGTTGATGAGGACGCCGAGGGCAACGCGTACCGCCACGGAGAACCACATGCGGTAGACTACTGTCGGTGGGTCGGGGTGCTGCTCAGTGATGCGCTCCATCACTTCCATCGGTATACTGCACAGCTGCGAATGGTCGGTACAAGGTTTGAGAAGTCGTCATCTTCAGTAGCAGCAAACATCGCAGACTGCAGAGCAAATGCCTCATACATGTTTCACCAATGGCCCCGCCGCTGTGGTCAAGTGGCCTAAGATACTCGGCTGCTGACCCGGTCGCGGGATAGAATCCCGGTTGCGGCGGCTGCAGGCGAAAATGCTGTAGGCCCGTGTGCTCGGATTTGGGTGCACGTTCAAAAACCTCAGGTGGCCGAAATCTCCGGAGGCCACCACTACAGCGTCTCTCATAATCGTATGGTGATTTTGGGACGTTATACCCCATGCCCATATTATTCATGTTTTGCCAATAAAAATTAATCAAGATCAGAAAAGCTTTACATCTATGCACAGCGAAAGCTGCATGCCCAGTAAATAGAACTAAAGGTGTGTCAATACACTTGACGAGGGTCCAAATTCACTATGACAATTCAGACACATTTGCAGCACTAATTTCGCACGTCTTACACGGTGATGATGTAATCACCGCGTACATAAAGGGGAGGTGTGTTGTAGGAGTTCTAGCTCTCTCGAAATTTCACAACTTTGCTTGCGTGTATACTGGGGCTTCCTTTGGCCAGCATTTGACCTTTGCGCCAATAAAAACTATTTTTCATTGTCATATATGCAACCAACAGACAAACGCATGCTGGAGCATACATAATTCACAAAAAATGGTTGAACCCTATCGCCCCCCCCCACAAATTCTGACATAGCCCCTGTCAAACACCGCTCGACGGCGTTTTTGGTCCCTCTTGTTCTAAGGTCCGTTTAAGGCAACCACATGGAACGCTTCGGTCACTTGAAACTGCTTTGCTATTCCTCGCACTCACTTCGACGTCGGTTTCGCAGACTGCCTGGCATACCGACGGCATTGCGGAGAGGAAGCCGATGAGGCCTATGCAATCTGGCGATACCAAGTAGTCCTTGAAGTCGCCTTCGCTGAAGAAGTACTGGTTTGAGTCTGCGTTCTGCAGGCGTCCCTCTGTGTCTGTACTTTGCCGCGTTCCTTTGCCGTAGACCTGGCAAAGGCGGATTCGAAACAAGAGGGCTTAAGAAACAATACAGAAGATTAGGGGTGGTGGTGAAGACGCGCGAGATGCATAAATTAATTAACCCCTTACTGCTGAGTGTCGCGAATTCGCGAAAGCTTTGAACAATTGAGTCATAAAACTTCGCGCTGCCTATATATATTAATGAGTGTCAAGTACTCATGGGCAATGTAGATTTCAGCATAAAAAATCTATCGTCATCTCGCCTAAGGTATATGCTAGAACCTATCGTAGCTTATGTAGCAGATGTAGCTACAATTTAGCTACACGTAGCCGATTTTGTAGCTGATGGCGGAGAGCACAAAGCGCATGCAACACCTTTAACTTCATCGTTTTCTTCTTGTCAAGATGACGCAAGCTCTAACATCAATAATGTCATTTATTTTTGGCGTATACGCATCCAAGAGGTCATACACGACATGTTACTTAGTTATGAATTAAATTTTTTGTTGCAAGGTCCTGGTTCAGTGGCAGAGAATTCGCGGCATACACAGAAGTATGCATTAAAGTTGCATTTCAGATAATTTCGCTGTGGATTCATTTAAGAGTAGCTATTTAAAGCTCACAGATGGAAACTTTTTGTTAGGCAGTTTCATAATATCGGGCATTAAAAGGTCAAGACATTGACTCCAGGACAATACAACACACTGCTGGATAATGTTTGACGCAAATAATCCCAGACATGAAGTTGGCCCTGGAATATCAATTTAGAGCTACGCAGCCCATGAAATTCGCAATGAGAACTGCAATTATTCAAAGGCGGTAGCATATGAAAGAAAATGTATAATTCAGTCAGATTGGCACATTATGTGCAGATGCAGGAGAGCATGGACGCGAGAAAATGTTAGCCGTATACTATGAATGCTCGCTATCTCCGTTATGTGTTGAGGTCGCGAAATTACGCAAACCCAGCTGTTATTATTTTCTGTCGAAATAGTAATTAGCTCTTTGATATTTATCACCTTGTGTTGGCGTGAATATTAGTACTAACTACAAGCGCGCCATGGAAGCCCATGTATGAAGCTACATTATACACATAATGACTCGTCCGAGAGGAGGGCAGCTACTTAATGTTTTGACTACAGTATTGTTATGATTACATATATTTCTGCGTTTCTTTGCTGTTTGTATCTATTTTTTTCTAAAAGTGAGTACATTTGCATACCCATTCCTATGTGTTCATGAAAGTAAGAGCCTAGTAAGTGCACGAATGTTCATTGAACTTAGGATTTTGCTGTGATCAAACACACACAAAAAAAGAGATGGGACGTAGTGCAGGCGACATACGATGTCATGCACTCGCACAGTGAATATCGCGTGCCCTTTTTTCGTCCATGGTTTCTTTCTATGGGCGCTACACATTACAACGTATGAATCCATGCTAACTAGCACAATTTTCAATTCCGTGAGTTGATTCAATGAGGTGTCGCACTCACTTCTTGACTGACGGTATCAGCTTTTGTGCTGCCTAGCTTTTTACATCCTACCAAATTGTACCTGGTTGGTTTTGATAGCTGAGCTAAGCGAGTACACAGCACAAAGGGCTGAAACAGCGGGTTAAGAGTGAATTACAAGTGATGTGTTCACAGATCGAGTGTGATGCTGTACCTATCACGTGTATTACGTGTACTGATAAGTGTACCTGTCACGTGTATTACATCTAATGAAGACTACTAACTTTATCAGCGTAAACTTTACCGTCAACTCTGCAGTGGTTGCGAATGATATTTATCATTGGATATTTCTTTCGCCACCCCAAAGAAGCGAATATGTGACATTTTTAACCTTCCAGTTACTGTTGTTGACACAGCAATTTCTATTTTTAAAGGTTGTAATTGAAGCGAAGCTTTACATTTCAAAGTCAGCAGTACATTTTCAATTTTCTTGCACCCTTTCATAACTTACCTTCACGATTCCGGAGCAGATGATTGAAACCCGCTTCGTGCTCGTGGCCCACAAAGGAGAGCACATTCCCTTTCTTTTGGGTCACGAAGAACGACTGCAATGTGAAAGGCAACGCAGTAACATATAAACATCTGAGAGTCTGTTGTGAGGCTAGTGACTGGGATAAGTTACTATGAATAACTGACTCGGATAACGTATCGGACTCTCGTTAGTACGGGGCTGTCGTCATTACCCGAATGTCGCTAAAAAAGTCTCTGAAACGAATTACCTTATATATCATATCTCGGCGGAGAGGTGACCGGCGCAACTCTCGATTAGGAGAATTGTGGGCAAAATTATTTTTTTTGCATTAGGAAATTATTTCGGGGCCAAAAGTACGGTTCTGATGCCTTCGCCTGGCCAGTTGTGAAGCGTGGGTGGACTCCACATGAAATCCTACACCCTCAATACGAAAGATGACACAAAATGAGGAACGAGTAAATGGAAACCAGTCTCTTCCACTGCAGATTGGCCAGGCATATTGCGAGCAGAGTCTCCCACAAGTGAGGTCAGTCTCTGTCAGCTTAGAATAGGACACACACACAGCACGCACACACACCTTTTGTCCGGTGGTGACCCACCCAGCTGTCACAGATGTGGCCGTCCACTTACCGTACCCCACATACTCCTTGAATGCTCTGAGCTAGAGGCTTACAGGAAGAAACACTCTCCACTAGCGTACAAGGAACACATACCCCTTCACCTAGCTATGTTTATTGGTCGCGAACCTCTTTTTAAATATAATGCATTGAATGCATTCTTAAAGGAAGTAAATACTTTCCATCTTATCTACTCAAGTGATCGGTAGCACGGCCTCTGAAAGGAGGCTGCTGCTGCGGATGCTACATCCAAAAAGAGCACCTGTCTCCCAGCCCTTGGGACCAAGGGCGCTGGCGAGGTATCGGTGCTAATATAACACTCCTATTTTATCATGTCATGATAACTTAAGACTCATTATCACCAGGCATGCTTCACTCACTTTCATGATTTTAATAAATATATGTCTTACGCACCTTTAGAGCGCAGAATCTTAGGCCCTTTTACAGCCATTTACCATAACCATTGCTCTCATCCGATATCATTTCCTGGCGCTCTTTGGCCATCAATGGCCCTTGCGCCATTAAACATATATCATCATCATAATCTCCCACAAGTAATGGACATGAATTGTGGGGGTCCCCCATGTCTTGATCAGATGGTGTATCAGACCATGGCCAAGACACCCAGCGATATCACTCCCTGGAGCTGGGCGGACCCACTCATAACCGATGGTGCTGTCATGGCCGCAAGGAGACCGTCCACTCCGCCTCAATCGCACCTCTTGGCCCGGAAGCGTGCCCTATACGCAACGTGCGTATCGACAGGACAACTGAGGGCAGGTGTGATTGGAGTTGAGACCACCGACAGATACCGCGCCATGGCCGACGTGCTCAGCAAGCCAATCGGGGACTTTCAAGCCAGCCGGTTTTTTGAGTTCCCGGCTATGCTGGACACGAAGGCTGTGTCGCAGTTTGTCGAGGCGGTAGATCTTCCGCCGGCACCCAGGAGAGGTGAAGCAGCATTCCTGAGATGCATGTTGCTCAGCGATATCATCATTGACGATGACAAAATCGGGAATATGACACAACAAAGCACTTGCCTCATGGCCCTTGGACGCAAGGGTATGAACGAGTGAGGCACTTGTGCCAATGCCATACATGTCCACCATCGTTTTTTATTATCGCCAACTTTTGTCATCTATTCACACCACACACACCTTTCACGAAATGGTCATGCTTTTATTAATTGTATGTTTTACCCGCCTTACCGCGAGAAATTTTATGGCCCTTATACAGCCGCTTATTAAAATCATTCTCTATATTTTTAGTAAGATGAACTGGCGCTCTTTGGCCGTGAAATGGCCCTTGCGCCACAAAACATCAAGCATAATCATCATCAACACGTTTGTAACGAATTGGTGGCTACATGGCTCGTATGCGAAGTCTTGGAAATATCGTATCATATGCGATGCCTTGGTTTCACGTTTCATTCATTCCGTCGTGTTATGAACATGGAACCAAGGCATCGTACATAATGCGAGATTTCCGAGAAGATTTAGCATATGATTAATGTAGGCACCAATTCGTTTTAAACGTTTTCTTCGCACAGATACGATATATAGGTTAATTCGTTGCAGACATATTTTTAGGGACATTCGGGCAATAATGACAACCTCATAGTAACGTGATTCCAGTCGTTCATATGTTGCAATTACGCTTGAGTGTTCGCAGGCATACCAACGAGAAGTACCTTGAGCAACTTGGTGACCTCTTCCCTGGGCAGCCAAGGAATGCTAAGCAGGATGCAGTGTGCCGTGTCTCCAACGATGATGTTGGTCGGCATGCCGTCCACACGGTGGATCATCCACGTCAGGTCCTGCGAGTGATCGCCAAGGCAAGGCAGACGAGGCGATATTGCATAAAGGAATGGACACTTCCTATTGACAGGGCCGGTTTGAGACACGTCGTATCAGACTTGCGGCGAAGTCAACTATCTTTATACTTTTCAAGATCAGCATTGTTAGACACATACTTCTGCGCAAGCTTGACGATTTGGTTACTGGCATTATCCAAACGAGCGAAGTTCGCGAACACACGAAGACAAAGAGATGGACGTTTGTTGAAAAGGAAATGTCGATGGAGACAATGCTTATCTTTATGAGGGCCTAGAAGACTGTAGCATTGTGTGTGTTGGTACGACCTGATTATGAGGTTAACTGAAGTTCTCTCTAGTTAATTTAAGAAAACTCGACGCCTTTGACCAAGCAACAATGCGACTTTATATGACGTCAGCTTGTATGATATCGTAAAGAAGTGATGTTGACGTCGAAAACTTTGACGACTTCTGACGTCATGGTTACGAACCATATGGGAATCCAGTAGTGCCCAGGTAGTGCGCCTACACTTTTACCATGCACGCCTAAAATTTACACGATGCACCGATCTGGCGAGCTGTCTGAGAACCAGCTAGTAGAAAAGAGCCGCCGCGAGGTGTACTACAGGAACGTTTTAATGCGCCCTCGTACACGTCACGCACGCTGAAACGCATGGTGAACGCCGAGTGACAGTGCCACCAGTTTTGCCTGATGTGCGTCGTGTTGTAACCTGTACTTTGAAACACGCAAGACCAGTGAAGAATTGGACACTTTGCAGAAAAGTGTGACGCAGTGGGCCAGCAACGATGTCAGCGGATTATTCTCTGCTACGGTTTCAACGATGTGCTGTGCGCGATCGGATACCCTCGCGAGACTGTGTTGTCGAAAGGATGGACGCTGTCCGATGCCAAGTGCGTCTGGGACACGGAAAAAACAGTGTGACCTTTTGACGCAGTGCCAAGCATTGTACGGCGTAAACTAGAAGGTAAGTGTGTTCGAATAGCGCTTCGAAACTAGTCGTAGCGTGCAAGTTGCTCATTATGTGCACACTTTGATGTAAAATTAGTCATTTCTCAGGCAGCACTGAGGTAGCACGTGGCCCAGTTACAGCCGTTTTGAGCGGGAACATCACATTTACGTAGTTGGTAGTCGCAGCTTTTGCACTATATATTACAGAAGCTTTTTAGCCACGCGCTCCTCTCTATGTTGTGTTCAACTGCTAGCGTTAACCCACAAAATGCTCGTCTTGAATGAATCTTGAAATGAATGTCTAAGACAGCCTTCCCATGAAAGACCAGAGTAAAGCGGAGATTAGTGTTGTTAGCGAAAATGCAAACATATCGCAGTGGTCGTGCTTTAGCGAAGTCGACTCACCGTCGTCTGCGGACCATTCGCTAGCCAGTGGTCGTTTGGTCTAAGCCTCACACTTAAAAAAAAAGAATGCGTTTGAACAAATTGGTAGTAATTGACTTGGTGGTGATTCCGCACTTGAAATGTAGTGTCGTCAGTAAGGCAACATTTTTAAGCAGTCATCTTCTTGTAACCAGTCTTGAACTGCGCACGTGACAGTCTAATGCACGTGACATAATACCATATTTACTGATATGTTACGCGAGGTTTCTTTTTTTCTGCAGATTTTTTTCCTACTTATGTTGACCCTCGGGTACCGAGTACCGAACTTCTTTTCTTATTGTACGTACTGAAATGTCACCCCTCGCGTTACAATCGTCTTCGTGGTAGAATCAAATAAAATACTGTCTGTAAAATATACGGCGCGACGCTTATGCAACGTAAGTTTTCATGTGCTTTCTTGAACGTTTTCAAGGCAAGCTTTAAGAAAAAGACTTTTGATGTTTTCTAGAGCACCAACCCTCGTGTATCGGTATAAATCTACGAGGGAGGTAGTCAACAGTGCCTGCTCTCTATTGTTTTTTTCTGTTATTCAAAACTTTGTGTGGTTGTGGCATAGCAAATACAACAATAACGCTGGTTTCGAAGCTTATTTTTTCTCGTCTAGTCATTGCACATGACGCAACGGTTCATGATTACTTGTGAAGCGGCACACGACGACAAACACGAAAGGAACGATAGGGACACCGCTGTTCACGTTAGTGTTTGTTGTGCACCCGAATGTTTCCAACCACGCTCGACAGTTTGGCGCCCCATGACTGCGAAAACTCCAGCGCTGGTTGCACATAGGGAGTGATGACGATTTCACATGTGATGCAATGACACATTGCGTTAGCAAACAGCATTGATTTCGCCTTGTTATAATTGTCACGGAAACGTCACCTCGTAAAGCATGCCGAACTGCTTGTCGTCCAGTAGGCCACCGTCGTGCAGGTCGTGCAGAGCGTCCAGTGCCTTGTTCAGCGTCTTGCGCGCCGCCTGACGCGTCTTCGTGGCGACTTCGATGTTGGGGTACTTTTGCTGGATGTCGATAACGTTTTTCAGCGTCTGTGCCCCCGGCACATAAAGAAAGGAAGGGTCAGCGTAATGCAGGGGTCAAGCTCTCATCAGAGAGCAGGAGGAAGTCACAAAATCTAGTCTCCCGATAGTCTTGTACAGTGAAGATTATTGAAAATTATCCCCCCCCCCCCACAAAATTTCGTGTCAGCCTTACAAATTTTGCCATTCAGTTTCACTGCGCATATTTCATGCCACTGCCATGATTTTATTACCTCTATGTTTTTAACCGCGTTAGCGCGAGGAACTTTAAGGCTCCTTCACAGCCACGAATCATATCATTGTTCATATCTCTAGCCTACTGAAATGGCGCTCTTTGACAATCAATTGGCGCTTGCGCCACAAAATACCCCTCATCATACTTAAATATCAACGCTAACTGTGAAATGTCAAGCATTTTTTCTCAGGTGATGTTTTGTATAGGGTAACACACTGAAGTGGTTCCCTGACGAAAAAAAAAAAAAGCTCGAGTCCAGTTGTGTCAGAGTAGCTCTTGCATACACGTATTAAGAAATAAGAAAAAAATACACATATTACACGAAGAACGTCATGTGCAGGCCTGCCTCGCAGGGGCGTCTGCGTGATCTGGCGTTTGGTGTGTTGTGACACCAGGGAACTGAGCTAACGGGCGGATTTTGATCTCTTCCCACGCCTAGCCGTGCGTGGTTAAGCCGTGTACGGGGAAAAGGGGATCCGGAGGGTTGCACCTTTAAAGCTCCCCGGGCAGAGGCAATACGCAACGCCGCTCCCAGCTTCACGTAGACAGCACTTATGGGCCGACTCACTCCGGGCAAATCGGAAGTCGCCTTTTTACAGTGGAAGCGATTATGACATCACAACTCTGGTCGAACTTGCTCAAATACGTCCCATTGTGTGAACTGTGACGGGGAGCATGCCGCATACTCGCGGCCCTGCCCCTCAAGGCAAAAAGAAAAAGAAAATGTTTTACCACCAAAGCTAAAGAAAATATACCCTTCAAAGAGGCATGGAGGTGTATGACCCACATGCCTAAAACTTCTTTGCCGATGAAACTGTGACGGGGCACCGTCACAGCGGCCTGTGGCAGCTGCCATGCTTGCGCGCAGTGAGCAGCACAGTGGCGCAATGGTTGCTGCTGCCACAGTGGCAGCAGCAACAAGTGGTGCACCGCCATTGGTGCCCCACTCTGACCGCCACTCACCGCCACTCTGACCCACCACAGGTGGGTCAGAGTGCCTCGTCTCAAGAGGCAAGGCTTTCCCGCCGAGCACACCTCTCCATTTAGCGGGTGCCCAACGCCTCTGTTGAGGTCATGAACACAACTCTTGTCCAGGTGGCGTGATATGCGCCAAAGGAACGGGGCGAATATCAAAAAAAAAAAGAAAAAGAAAAAGCTCCTATTATGAGGCCTGCATAAAGCTCCGTAACCTGAAGTTTCTGTAACACACAGCCTTCACTTTCCACTCAATATGGCTACGCAGGTGCAGCAGTAGAACGTGAGAGGTCTCTTGCATAATCTGGAAGACGTAACAGAGCTCCAGCTCTAAAGTGCTGAGTGTTAAAAAACGCATCGCAAACCTACACACACTAACTTCCTCAGACAATATGCCATATTTTGCAGAGATTGCGGCAATGTAGTCACTTCTTTGAGTGGTGTGGCAACCATTGTCGATTGTAGTGTCGCCTGCTGGCGTTTCAATCTGAGAACACCTCTGGAAGCAGTCGCTATTCAAGCGGTGCTTTTTGAAGAGCTCACCATTGTCATCTTATTATACATACCCCGGCTACAGACGTGCTAAAAACTTAATTTATAAACTTAATTGACGAGCTTCCTGAACCATATTTAGCAGTCAGTCCCTGACATAATTGCACATAGCACACAGTGGCGAGAGTGTCATTGTGATGCGGGACGACAATAGGAATTCTTTATCTTTTACTTGTGCATGTCTGCTAGGATACAAACATACACACTTCCATTCAATGCACCAAACATACTCATCCATTCATTCAGGCATTACAACAAGTACTTTAGTTTTATATCTCAAATGGCAGGTTACTGGAAACCTGATATGAAAGTGATCACTTCCCTATTGGAATAATTTTGACACAACAAAGCCGCTCACCAATTCTCCGCTGGGAAATTAAATCGGCAAGGTTGGAGCTGTTCCTAACAGCATACATATCTACCTTGGAATTACATCTCTACCCTTTGCGTAGACGATGCATACGTGACACAGCAGGATGACAGATTGGCAGATTTCGTAGAGTAAAATACGACGTGACCGTTATCTTTCTTGCCATGACATCTCTATATTTTACAGAAACACCGAATTTATAATGTAGTGAAATTACTCGTGGGTGTCGGCAGAGTTTTTTTCTTGAGGGTCCAAATGCTGGCATGGCCTGAGGTGGGCAAGGGCCCCTCTTGCACCTTCTTACCGTTTGCTGATGCCCATGAAGTTACTTAAAAGCCCATAAAGTAGTATGAAAAAAAAACAATTTTCACACCTAAACAAGCTTTTAGCTGCATGATTTGGTATAGTAAAATGACTCATTGGCCCTTGCATGATGAATAAGACTACAGACGCACACCTCGGGACTTAAAGAAAGCTATCCACTAAAGCAAGTACGTGAGCGTTTTGCGACCCCTTGGTCAGGATGTGGACCGTATGTTCTGATCAATGCTGACCCCCCGCCTCCCTTGAAGGCCGCCATCTTAAATGGTACTATTTTTTCGCTTTGTTCCTTCGACGTGAATTTTGAAAGGTTTGGTGACTGATTCACATAGCACGTGAGTGGGCGTTCGCACCTGAAGTTTGTTCCGGCCGCATTGGTCCCGAATCTTGTTGGCAAGCTGGGCGTTCTTGACGAAGCGGCCCGCCTTGGCCATGGCTTCGTCTTCGGCGGTGATGTAGGCCCAGCTGACGTCGTACGCGTAGAACAGCTTCCGGTTCAGCACCCCGTCCATCAGGTCCCACAGCCACACAAACAGGACCTGGGGCGGACGATAAGGTCATGAACCATTAGACCATTAGATACCACTAGATGAGTTTTCTTTATTTTTTACTTTGAATACTATCCCGGTCACAAATTCGTCAATCTACATTTTATGTACGCTGACTATATTAAAAGGTGAATTTATTATGAGTCTTTCCACCACTAAAAAGTTAACGTATTTTATAGCTAAATTACAAGGCTAACTCGATCCGCTGATGTCACGCCAGGTTTGTGGAATTATGCCATATGAGGCATATGACATATCAAATGGTCGCCGATTATAATCATTTAAAAAGGGCAGTGCAAAGACTAGGGGAAAAGAAAACAATAGAGAAAAGAGCACTTTTGTAGTTCTACGCACCAACTATCCCCTAACCAAAGTGCTTCTCGTCAATGAACATACAAGAAAACACCCTTCGCATGTGTTCATACGAGGTTATTGAATACGTGGAATCCATGTAAACGTTTGAGGTAGGTTACCAGAATACTAGGATGGTCAGCCATATTTGTTGGAGAGCTAGGAGTCAGGTGAAAAGAATGAGTATGATTTCATCCAGCATTGGTTTTTATCGCAGCTTGCCGCGCAAACGCCATCAGTGAAAATCAAGCACAAAAATGATTCGTTGAAAAACATTTAATAATCGTCGCAGCAAAACTATTCATGTTGCAAGTTAATCGCTAGGCTCTGTTGAGGGAACGAGTGAAATGGGACACATCAGACATGGTGAATCAATGTTTTCAAGGTGGTAATTTCGGCAATTGATCGAACAGCGAGCATTAATCAAGAAGCGTGTGAAATGCACTTTGTTGTCTGGCCCACAAACAGCGCAGCAAAGGCTTAAAATAGCCTCCTCGCATTTATTTCGTTACATGGTGCACCACCAGTAAGAGCAGTGCCCATTTCGACCATGTTTATTTGGGGTGTTTCACACGCACAGACAGTGGTACACATTTGTGCCACGGTTCCTACAAAGGGTTAAAAGAACCATCAGAAGAATAGATTCTCACTGCTCTCTTCTGCAGCGTCTTCACCGTGCGGCAGGCAACCAGCAGTATGAAGCTGCACTGAAGGAAGATGGCGTACCACTTGTTCTGCTTTTCGTCCATACTTATTGAGACGAAGCTGGTCAGCACGAATTCGGACACCACGAGGACGAAGATTATCAGGTCTAGCTGGCGCCAAACATCACGGCCCATCCTGAACATGCCCATTGAGTACACCTGAGAGAAGGAAAGAGAAAATATAATGTGAGTGACTCTGCAACTTGTAATCCGTTCTAGACTTTCTATAAGTGTACACCTGGTGATATCAGAAGGTTCAAAGGAGGCAAGCACCTGTACTTTTCCGTACTATTGTTGCGAAAGGCTTGAGAATGAAAGAGAGCGATGGACAGTACGAAATAACGCAAGAGTTTAGAGACCCAATGGCTAAAGAAGCTGTAAAGCAAGTTATAGTTTTTTGTACGATGTGCCTGACGCACCCGCCTTGCCCCCCTTCTTTCCTCGCAACCTGCAGTAGGGCAGAATATCTTAGCAGGCCCAGTTAGCGTCTGTATTTGGTTCGACATGTCATTCCTGGAAGAAACCTTGCTTAAAAAAATTTGATATAACCATATGAACAGTTCAACGTTTAGTTACGAGTGCAGGTGTTGAGTCAATGCACAGCTAGTCTAGCTTGACTGCCCTGCATTTCTCCCTTTCGCATGCTAAACCTGCAATACATTAGGCTCATGATTTGTCGAATAAAAAAACAGACGACGAATTTTTGGCTATCAACTATTTTGTAAAATTTCCTTAGTAAGCTAACGTGCACAATGCAAGCTCTCAACATACACGACAGTCGAAGAGTGGTTTCACCAGCGTCGTCGTCTCATATTAAATGCTGTAAATTATGACATTTAGAAGGGTTTGCGTTTGGGTTTGTTTGTAGTTATACTTGTCAAGTGGCTGCCACTTAATTGAGACATACACAGGATAGAAAAGCATGTAAATATGCGGAACAGCGTCTATTTGACATTTGCTTTTGAACAAAGACTAGTCAGTAAAATATCGTCAGATAAAGTCAGTAGTGAAGTGAGTGTCCCTATCGTAGGCGTCTCTATGGTTGCAAATTCGAAACTACCGGCGTCTCATGACTTAGACTAGTTAGTACTACGAAAGCTCGCTTTACGAACATTCCGACCGTGTTAGCCGTAGCCGCTGCACTGTCACTTTTCATGTTACTCCCGACATCGTTACCACTTCGGTTCCTACGGAGACCTAGGTCTGCACAAGTGCTTTGCTAATGAGGGAGAGGTGACGCACGCACTCACCACGAGGAGTATCTCCAGGGCGTACAGCAGGACGTACAAGCCCTGGACGCTGACCACGACCGACATGATGACGTCATTCATCTTGTACTGGGTGAAGAAGGCAAGTCCTCCGAGCAGGAAGACAAAGCCCACGGCCACCAGGCCCACGAGCACGTGGTACCAACCCTGAAAAGGAAACGTCACATGGTACGCTTTTTCAAGGATTTTAATCTCGTGGCTCGCGGGTCACGTGTGACGCGCAAACCCCTCTCGCTCGTGTCCCGCGGCCTTCATATGGCTGCCTTTGTCCCGTTTCTTTTTCTGAATAGGTATGTTAGTGAGCTAAACAAGCATGACTGCTTTAAATGATTGTTTTCGTGAGGCACCCCCTGTGGTCACAAAATGTCGAAAAGATAAACGTGAAGGAAAAAAAACGCATTTCGGAATAGGTGTCTGTAATGCAATAACTTTGACGGTCTCTTTCCACATGTTGTTGGAATGCTGGTGCCATATCTCGTTCGAAAATTGCCCATACAGAAGAAATTAGAAGGCCCCACCCCCTCGCGCCCCTTCTTAACTTATTTCCTATACGAGCCGGCCCTTGCTGGACCAAGTTGTCTGAGTGCCACCCGCTGGCTCAGACTTCTACCTTATGCGTTTACCCAAGGATACGCCAGTCATATTCTTCTTCTCTTTTTTTTCTCAGTCAAATGCATTGACTCCTCCCTTCCTCCGCAGATTTTCGGCGACCTATACGGAGTGTAGCACGTTCCTCCGGGAACAGAGGCACTGGAATCTATGCCTCGCGTGGTTTCCAGTTCCTCCGGCAACGGCCCACCTTTAGCCCAGCGACGATATCGTGCGATGACGTTCCTTGTGGGAAGTCAGGATGGTGTGACATCTGGTCACATTAGGATGACATCTCAATTTCGGCGACCCGTGGCGTCATGACGACTTCATAAGGTGACTTAATTCACATGATTTTTTTTTCAATACTTCTTTTGGCACCGACGGTCACTTCTCACGTTTTGATGAGGCGCCCAAGGCCTGTGACTTGATCGCGCAACGCATGACGAAGCTTCTTGCCGAATCTAAGGGGTCTTTCATGATACCAAAATGGCGGAATGCTTTAGGAACTGTAGCGTCAAGATGCTCAGCACAAAGACATGGGTTCGTGTTCTGCCACAGCCGTCACACTTCAATTAGGGCGAAATGCGAAAACTCCACTGTATTTTAGGTACCTAATACGGCGTGATCGGGCGGACTGTATTATGACAGAAATTAGGAGACGGATCGTAAACTTGCGCGTGATGTACTCTCACTCAACAGTTTGCGCTGAAGCTTTACAAAACATGAAGGTTGCCTCGCTCAGTATAGCAGCCGTATTTCTTTGCGGCTGTGTTTAGTTGAGTTTTGCCATCTCGCATGCCAAAGGACTTTTACGCTGTTCTTTCTTTGTATATCATGCCGATTGATTGCTGTCTCATTCATCGCTTCGTACTTGAGGCAAAACTGACTTATTGTTCTCAGTGTTTCTCGCTGATTCCTCACTCACTCAAACAGCGTTGTGTGCACATTGTGTGCACATTGTGTGCACTTTCTGCTAACTCTTAGGCCTTGTGACGCTCATGTTACACTTAGCCTCTATCCGTTTAACCATCGAATGCCCACTGTCATTCGCATATCGCTAGTTGGTCAAATCGGGATCATTCCACCAGGTAGCCCCTTTGATTCGTTGTTACAGATATATACCGAGTGTTCAAAGTTAAGCTTTATGGTATTCTTCACGTTCCACTCTGGGAAGAACGTGAAAACCACAATAATACGAACTAGGGCTTGTTGGCGAAGCGTGATGAAAAACAGTGCAAATAAAGACGGTTACAAAGGAAGAAAACACACTCAGCGCTAAACTTACAACAGTTTACTGGATGAAATAATCATACAATAAAGTGTTCCAAGTTCGGTGTTTAAATGGCCCTTGCACCAATAAGCAACACCAACCATAATGAGTGCTGTGTGTGTTCTCTTCTTGTATCTACGTTGTCATTAGCACTATGTGTTTCACTGTAAAAACCCGCCTTTGAAAATAAGTTAAGCATCGAGAGGGACACAAAGTCAAACAATAATTATCGCTGTCACACACCCGAATAGCTATAGGGTTACATATTAAAATTTGTACTGAGTGCGGCTGCCGGGCCTGTCTGTATTGCAAAGGTGGAGACAGTGGAGTTTCTACAAAGTTACACTTGGAATAATTGCTCTATTATGCCGGTGGCCCGAGATATCCCGCGTTGCACAGTTTCGTTGCAGTTTCACTCTAACGCATTCATGGCGAAGCTAATCGGCGCTATATTCATCATTGATGTGACGGACAGTTGCTATCGCCAGCCGGTAGCAAAATGGTAATCGTTACCTCATTTGCCCATGCATTCGACCCACTGTCAGATTACACGCCGCACAAAACTGCAGCTGCACATCAGGGAGGAATCTTGCGCCGGTGCTCAGTGTCTTGCATGCGTAATCATGCAAACTGCGATCAGAATTTGCGGCGAGACATCTCGAAGTATCTACGTGCTAGAAGAATTTTTTAAAGTGTAATTCTATAGAAACGTGAAGTGGTTGACGCTTGCTTACTGTGCTATAAGGTGTGTCCCTCATGAGCAGATCATGGTTGTGGGATGTAAAACCCGTTTGTTGCACTAACTGACGAGTTAATTATTCAATCTTATACCTTTGTTGCACAGGCAGTTTACACCGCGGTTACGCTAATCGCGGTTCCGTTTACCGTGGTTCGCTGATGTTACACGGCACACGAAAGCATGGTTAGGCAAACCGACAAAATGACCGCGCCCAACACCGATGAGTGCATGCCGTGAGTGCATGTAGCATTTTTCTGTCGCGAGAAACACGGTATGCGTTTCCATCTCTATAGTAAGTGTGTAACATCGCGAACCGTAGTTGGCGCTAACCGTGGTTGGTTGTAATCACGCTTACATTGCCTGTGTAACATGAGTGTTAGTTATTTGGTCAGCTGACAGCGATCGCTACTGTCTAACTTTGTGTCTCTCTGGATACGCAAAGTATTATTATTATTATTATTATTTACAAATACTGCTGTCCTATGTCTGGGACATTGCAGGTGCAAATGTGGTTTTTCGTGTGAAACCATATAACTACTGTGTTGGTAATAATACTTAGAAGGTTAAGAACAGGACTTACACACACTACGCATTCATTTTTTTTTTTTTGGTCTGGTGGTGATCTACCTTTGTGTGACAGATCTGGAGAAGCACTCACTGTACTTTACCTTTTAATCTTGTGAAAAGACTTAGACACGCTCAAATTACAACGCTTTTCATTACCCTACCGACAACAGGTGCCACTTCACCCTGCAATATTCGTCGGTAGAGAACGACTTTTGACACATAAACTGTTATTGGCTGTTTCTTTTTTTGAGAGACGTCCGTAGCTCTTATGTCATATGCCCGGGCATTCCGTAGCACGACCTGTGGTCTTCGCTGTGGTGGCTTCACTGAACAAAGAACTTACCTCGCGGCCCTTGGACGCAATGGCGAGGACGATCGAGACCCTTGTGCTAATGTCATGCATGTACACCTTAGTTATCACAAACTTTCATCATCCATTCAAACTACACGCATTTTGTGCCATAGTCATGATTTCAATGCTTCTACGTTTTTACCCGCTTTAGCACGAGGAATTTTAAGGCCCCTATACAGCCACTTAACAGAATCATTGTCTATGTCTCTAGTCCCATGAACTGGCGCTCTCTTGCCATCAAATGGCCCTTGTGAAACGAGGCACTTAATATCAACTGCTGTGTTGGAGAAAGAAAAAAGAAAGAAAGAAGAAAAATAAACAAAGTAAAGAATACAAACAGATAGAAAAGTAAAATATTGAAAAGAAAAAAGGAAGAAATGAAAAAATTGACATAAAGGAAGAAGTGACTTTCTCCTCCTGTTTTCCCGAAAAAGCATATAGCTCCGTGAATTTTTCCGCCCACCTGAGTAATGGAGTTTGAGAGCAGGTCCATCTCCACTACGCTGGTCTCGCTCTCCGTGCGGGCACTGACGCGGCCCGAACTGCGACGTTCGATGACCTCGGTGCCCGCAAACCTTTGGAGAATGTTTTTCTGTACACGAGCAGGGAAACAAAGTATATGAGGGAAAACTGCTTGCGAGGTTTTCTCTATGAGGGAAATTATGAGAAACGTGTTGAGTTCTCACGTCGCACTTACTACGTTCCTGCTTTCGTATTTAGGCATTAAGGTACAGGTGGGCTAGTTCCTATAGTCGTAATTAAATACGACAGCGTTCAAAAAAATTACCATCTCCCCGAAGGTAACCCTGATGGAATACGAAGCAGCACCAATGCGCACAGCATTGACCCAGCTGAAACGGGCGTCGACGTGGTTGCTGGAGGAACGATTCGAGTTAACGCTTGTTTGAAACGCAAGAAAATGGTAGGCGGGTTAGGTTTCGTGCAAGTTTCAGCGCTGATAAATGGAAGTAATTCCGCTCGACGTGCGGTCGAGCGTTGCGGGTGGTAGAGAGAATGAAGCAACACAGAAGTGCGTTGCGAGTGAGAGGAGGGGCCGACAGCTGCTCGTGGTGAGGGAGAGAGTGACGTCAACGCGCTACTGCGAATTGACCTACTTGGCACCGCTCCAACACCCGCGGCGAGGTGGTTGATGTGGACGCACAGAACAGCGTTACACAGGCCAGTCAAACAGCTGCTTCGCTTATAAAACAATATCAGCCTCTTAAGCGCATGACACATGCTTTTGTTCTGCGCGTACATCAAAAGTCATTTAAAGCGAAGCTATTCTCGGTCGAGCCTTTCACGTCCAGAGTCCGTGTCAACACTAGTGGGAAGCACAGATAGGTATGCGCCATAGCCTATTGTAAATCCTGCCTTTCACCACAGTTCCAATGAAAATTATGGCTGAAGAAACGGGTAGTGTACCTACAAGAAGGTTCTGCTCACTTGTAACGTACTCTGCGCAAGTCGCAATGCCTCACTGCAGCGCTGATAAAAATTGGTCAAAAGGCGTGTAGAGAAAAGTTTTCAGCTCCAGTAACGTGAAACCTGGGAAAGGGGGAATATATCCAGTGAGAGCCTCTAGTTATCAGAAAATGGGAGCTCTGATTAGAGACAGAAGCCCGCAGTCTGCTTTTGGTAAGTGCGCATGCGGCGAATCTTTGTTGTTAAACTATGCGCAAAAGAAATCTACCATACTCGATCAACAAGATGTACAAGACTTCAAGAATACAGCCCAGCTCCATAGCATGGAGCCTCACAGGAGGTTGCTGCATTTACAATAAACAAAAAAGCACCGGCTTCCTAGATGTTTGATTCAAGGGTTTCGAATAGGTAGTTGATCTAACGATGTACTTCCTTCTTGTAGACCCTTAATTGGCCGTTTAGCACCTTAATTGTCCGATTTGCTTCACGCATGTCACATAGCACTCTGATAATTTTAATAAATTTGTTTTACGCGTTTGTTTAGTTCGCTCAGGTTTTGGCTCTTATACAGCCGCTAAAAACTACCGTTGATTGCATCCTATGACCCCACATCCGTAGTCCAATGGCCTGGTGATTTGTGGCCAACAGTGGCCCTTGCACCACAATACCTTACGTATCAAATATTAGACTCGGTGGCTTTTACTGTCGAGTTATCTTAAGCAAACGCACAAGAGAATGTGAGACTTTGTTATGATCACGTCAATTAGCGTAACATATTACTTCGAAGTCAACCACTAGACTCACCAGCGAATAGATCCAAGCTGGCACTGTGATGTACTGGGTCATCATGTCGATGTTGAGGTATCTGCAAAATGCAAGCTCACATTTCAGTAAATAAGAGTAATACAGCTGCACTCAGTAAAACAAAGAGGCAACGTTATAATTGGTTGTCGCTGAATAGCACCATTCTAAAAGAAGTTCAATGAAGAGCCGGAGGGTATTTTAATACTAAAATACTCGAAAATAGCGCTACAGAACAACACAAAACAACGTGGACGTCACGGGGTTTGTTTTCCCTTGCGTTTTTGTCAATTATTGTGCTTTTAAACTTGAAATATACCACCAGGTGGCGGGTATTTATTTGGCCTCGTTAACAACTTTTACCTGTCATACCGTATCACGCTCTTAGACGTGCACGTTACGCTTTTTTCTACGTTTTATATTCAGAGAAACGGTAAAGCAATGAGTCTTGTTAAGGCTAGTTCATGAATGGAAATTTTCATTTGTTTGTTTTCATTCATTTATGTTAACACATGAGATGCCCGCAGCGTCTGAAGGCATTCCAGGGCGACAATGGGGTGAATACACAGGTTTGATTGACATAGGAGGGGCAGACAGACAATTCAGCTTAAAAAAGTAATTAGGAGAACTGCAACAAAAAGCTACAGAAAAAAATCACTCTGTTCTACAGACCATGGTAACTCTCAAAACAAAGATTCATTGCGGCCAGGGGCGTGGACAGCAATTCTTACCAAGGGGAGGGGGGCCCCTCCCTAATTTCGGCGGGGGGGGGTGAGGGGCACTTCTTTGAAATGGTTGTCATTTTCCCCTCAGTATGCTAATCAGAAAAATATTCGGGGGGGGGGTGATCTTAGTGTGCCACCCCCTGGTTGCGTCACTGGTTACGGCAATCAGCAATGTTCTTTCGTAGCTAATCATGGTGCGAGAAAAATATGAAATACGGGACAAGGAAAGGGTCGAAGGGGAGCGCCTACTTTCAAAAAGATTTATTTCAAAGAGCGTACACACATGTACACTCAAAATGCGAAAAACCAACCACACAGTCAAGAAGCCCACAAATGCTATGCGCGAAAATCTTGCATTATCAGGGAGGAATTTTTTTTTACTAAGCCCGAGAGAGAAAATGCTGACGCAGTTCAGCCCTAATCTATGAATCATCTCTGCCTCAATAATTTTCATTGTTTTATTTATGTTTTTTCCAACAATAACAGTGTCATTGAAAGGTGGTTTACAAGCCACACGTGCTGCAAAGAAATGCCACAGAATTCATCAGGACTACTTCTGAAATTGCGTTTGGCACGTCACCTTAAACAAGCATAGAAAGTGATAGTACTGAGAAGCTTTGCGAGTAACTGAGATAAACGCATGAAAATGGAGCGAAGATTACCGCTCTCAAACACGCTTATCGAGGCCGCATAAGGTCGCATATATCCTAAAGAGATTAAGAGAGACTGCAAGCTTAATCAGATTTGGAGTGCATAACGTCAGCAGTAATCTCAAGATGGCTCACATAATAACTCACCGAAAGCAAAAGCCTTAGAACCCAAAGCTAAGCTCTAATTTCGAACATCTGAGGTATTAGGGTTCTACTTACAGCTCTCTTTCTAGCGGATACTGCAGAGCCGCTAGAATGGTCGTCTTCGTGCGCTTGTGAATCATGCCGTCTTCGTACTGCTTGTTGTAGCACACCTGGAGAAAAAGGGGAAAAAAATCAAACAATACATGTCACTTGTTCATGTATGTTACTAAGTGCAAGTACAGTGTTTCCGTGTTTTAATTCGTAATATATTTTCCGTTTTTTTAAGCAAGCATGGCGGTGTCTGGATGAATGAACAATTGTCATTAGGTGCCACACATAATCTTCATCATCACAATTGATGTACCACTTAGTAAAAATGAGCACTTGAAAATTTGGAAAGATAACGCTCAATAAAAAGCGGAAGACACAGATTGCTTGATCGAATCAGCGCGAAAATAAGCACATCTTGTTTTTATCCTTCCTAATGCGTCAGCCAGCTCGGCGCCACAGTCTTTTTACGTAGTTTTCTGGAAGTTTCATAATCAACAAGACACGAGTGGCTCGTATTGCTGGTTCATGCTGGCATTGCCATTTTATTTTTTTACTGCAGTATTCAGATACGAAACGCATGTAATGCAGTACTGATAGATGAAACTTTTACTGACCAATAGCGCCAAGTGAAAGACGTAGACGGCCATCTTTATTCGAGGTCCCCACCTGTTGGATTTTGTTTAATGTTTGTTCACCTCTAGTGCATTGTTCACTTGTCTTCCCCCTAAATAACAAAAATGCAGTGAATGCGTTGCTATTGCCTTAGGACATGGCCTCGAAGATTTACATATTTCGAAATTTCGAAGTAGTAGTAGTAGTAAAAAACATTTATTTCAGAAAAAGTTTACTAGAGAGTGCCGACGTGGCCCATCGGCGTGCTAGAGTGGCAAGACCCTATTCCGGGACGCCAGTGGAGCTGGAAGCTGCCCGTGCGCGCTCCACCAAGGAGCGTTGTGCAGCCAAGGTAGAGCAGCCGAGCAGGTGCTCCTCCCAAGCCTCTCTAGTTGGGATAGGAAAAGGGGATGAGAAAGGGACGGGATTAACTGGGCACGATGCTACGACGTGATATGTGTCGGCGAGCACATGACAGGTCGAGCAGGTGCCATTGATTTCCGGCAAAAAGTGCCTGGCGACCGCCGGACTGATAAAGGTGTTCGTCTGCAGGCGGCGTAGCAGTCGTTCGTCCACTTTCTCCAAACCGTGTGCGGGGTCCGGGTAGAGGCGGCGCGAAGCCCGGTAATAAGCCAAAATTTCGCGAAAGCGCGTCAGGTTGGTATTGCCAGATTCCGTCTCGGGACATGGAGGGGCAACGGCCCGGACAGGAGAAGCGAGGGCAGCGGCATTAGCCGCCTCGTTGCCGGGCAGGCCCGAGTGGCCTGGGGTCCACACTATACGAATGGGATGAGGATTAAAGCGCCAAGAGGCTGCCTGTAGTAGGCTAGCCGCCAGCGGAGCAATGGAACCCTGAAGGTACTGAGAACAGGCCGAGCGCGAGTCCGTCAGGATGGTGCGTGAGGCAGGGTGAGAGGCGGCCAAAGCTATGGCAACCTCTTCAGTGTGCGTTACTGTGTCTGCTCGAAAGGAGAGGCCATCTACGTGTTTGCCCTCTGTAATCACGGCAGCCGTGAAGTGACCCGAGGGGGAGGGACCCGAGACGTCCACGTAGAAAACACCAGGACGATCGGAGTGTCGCGTATGAAGGGCCGCGGCGCGTGCTAGTCTACGGCCAGGATGGAGGTCAGGGTTCATAATACGGGGTAGAGGTTCCACCCATAGCTTTTGACGCCAGAGCTCTGGTACCGGCTGCAGAGGGTCTTGGTCAGATATCGGGTTAAGGCCAAGTCTGTGTAGAAGACGGCGCCCTGAAGGCGTCTGTGACAGTCGATTGATTTGGTTAACGCGATGAGCTTCGCGCATCTCTGCAAAGGTGTTGTGTACCCCCAGAGCCGTGAATCGGCTGTTGGAAGTTGCAATAGGTAGGTCCAGAGCGCGTTTGTATACTGAACGAAGAAGGACGTCCAGCTGGTGCTCGTGTCGACGACGCAGGTGAAGGTAAGGCAAGGCGTAGAGGACGCGACTGGTCACAAACGCGTGGGCCAATCGGAGGGACTGAGACCCGCGGAGGCCGCCGCGCTTGGTAGAAACTCGCCGTATCATGCGGCTCACCTGTTCGCTGGTGCGTCTGAGGCCTGCTATTGTGCCCTTTGGATCCAAGGACGATGTGAGGTGAAGTCCAAGAACCCGAATATTTTGCACTGACGGGACGGGCCCGGATGGAAGAAAAATTTGAGGCGGCGGTAGCGGAGAGACTGAAAGAAGAGCCGATTTAGCTGGAGAGCACTCCAGGCCGCATGAACCTGCGTAGGTGTCCACCAGAAGGGCAGCCTTTTGCAGGCGTTCTTCGATTTGCGCTAAGGAGCCGGTGTTGGTCCAGATTGTGATATCGTCCGCATATAGTGCGTGTTGTATTCCCTCGACCTCGCTTAGAAGAGAGGGGAGGTTCATCATCGCCAGGTTAAAAAGCAGAGGAGACAGGACTGCCCCTTGAGGTGTACCCCGCGTGCCTAATAAGTACGGGCCGTGTTCGGTAGAATTAAGGCGAATGAAGGCGGTGCGATGAGATAGAAAGGCGCGAATGTAGTTGAAAGTCTTCTGCCCACAGTTTGTGGTAGACAGGTTAGTGAGTATAGTGCTGTGTTTGACGTTGTCGAACGCCCCGCGGAGATCGAGAGCGAGCACGGCTTTATTGTTATGGCGCATAGTAGTCGGCTCTATGATATCGTGTTGAAGCCGGAGCAGGACGTCCTGCGCCGACAGATGCGGGCGAAAGCCAAACATCGTGTCGGCAAAGGTGCTCCTGGCCTCCAAGTAGGCGGAAAGGCGTTCGCGAACCATGGTTTCCATGAGTTTGCCTGCGCAAGACGTAAGTGAGATAGGTCTCAGTGCCTCAATTCTAACGGACTTTGCCGATTTGGGAATGAATGTCACGACCGATGTGGTCCATTTCGTTGGAAGCGGAGAACCGTCCCATATCGAATTTATAAGCTGGAGTAGCGAGAGGTGTGCTTGGTCGGGAAGATTTGCCAGGAGCGATACTGTGATTCCGTCGCGTCCAGGGGCCGTGCCCCGTCGCATTTTCGTGAGTGCAAATCGTAAATCAGAAAGCGTGTATGGGGCGTCGAGGTCGGTGTTAGGGGCGCCGGCATACGTATATGCTGGGCCTGCGGGATCAATTGTGCGGCAGATGTAGCGGTCACAAAGTTCTCGCGCGAGTTCATCCGTAGTGCCCTGAAATGCATGCAGAACACGGTGGAGCTGGCGTTGCGTTTCTCCCCTGGTGGTGGAGGGATCGAGAAGGCTTCTAAAGAGTCGCCACGCACTCTTAGAGCTCATCTGGTTTGCAGCCTTCGAACAGGTGTCTGCCCAGTTAGCATCGGAAAGTTGTGCAGAGTATGCGGCCGCCTCTGCAGTGAGCGCCTCAATGCGAGCGCGAAGTTTCCGATTAAGTTTGTTGCGTTTCCAGCGCCTTATGAGCCCGCGGCGAGCGTGCCAAAGATGTAGGAGGTGTGGATCGATTGCAGGAGTCAAATTAGAGGTTGCAAGGGTGCGAGTGTTCGCTTGTTTCATATGAAGAGCGTATGATGCCCACGCTGCATATTCGGTCGAGGAGAGGCTGGCGGGGAATGGTTGCATTCTGAACTGAGTCCAATCGGTGAGACGGGCTTGGCCCCAGTGTTGGCGCATTTTCTGCCGCGGTGTGAACGAAATGCGGAGTAAAAAAGTGATCGCTGCCTAGGTTTTCGCCTAAATTTTCCCATGTAGCATCGCGGATGTGACGGGTGAGGGAGAGGTCGGGGCATGTGTCTCGCGTGACCGAGTTGCCGGAACGTGTGGGTTGCGCCGGATCGGTAAGAAGCGTCAGGCTCAGCGAGGAAATGAGCTCCTTGAGCTCTCTGCCCCGGGCCCTCTCGTAGTGGTAACCCCAGTGAGGGCTGGGGGCATTAAAGTCCCCGACAATCACCAGTGGTTGTCGGGCCGCTATACGCAGGGCCCGATGGAAGAGATGCGCAAACGAAGCCCTCGAAAGGCGAGGGGGACAGTACACGTTTAAGATATGTATTGATGGTTGGCCCCTCCGCTGAGACAGCACTGATATCATGCAGTAGTCGTAAGGAAGATCCAGATCGAGGTTGATCTGTATCGCCGTGTAAGCTTTATGCACGAGGAGGCATGTGGTGGTGCCGCCTACATAGGAGCAGTATCCAGAAAGGGATGGAGCAGGGCCAGATTCTTGGAGCGCCAAGACGGCCGGCTGAGAGCCAAGTGAGCTGAGGAAAAGGGAAAGATGTGAACGCTTTCGCCTGTTCCCGAAGCCTCCAGGGTTCCACTGTATGATCTCGAATTTAGACACAATGTTTGAACGGGACGTACGATTGGTAGCCATCTTGACTGTCCTAGGTTTTATATTTGGTCCTCCATGTCCCGCTCGGAATCCTCAGAGGCAGGGAGGGGCACGGAGGCCGGATTGTCCGACGGCGGGGTGGTGGTAGCCACCTTACGACGACGCCGTGGAGCTGTACCCTCACTGCTCACCGAGCAGGAGCGGGAACGCGATGCCTTGGGTTGAAACTGGGTGATTGCCCAGGCTTGAATAGCCTGGGTAACTTCTACTACTATGCGTTGGACCGAGAAGCTGGTGAGGAGGTGATTAATCGAAGCTTCGACGCGCGTGAGGCGTTCCTCTACGCGCGGGGTGTGCTCTTCGCTAGGGAGAGTTTGGTTAGCGGGCAAGAGAACCTGAGGTGCCCCAGGAGCCTCAAGAGCTTCTGGAGTAGATGTGGCACCAGTTCCGAGTGCTGGAGTACACATGGCTGCTTGAACCGGCGGTTTAATGGGAGTGGACTTAGCGCGAGGACTAAGCTTGGACGTAGCTGGCGTAGCCGCCTGGACAGAGGAGGCAATACCGGATGGCCTTGCAGTACACTGTTGTTGGGGTTGAAGTCGCTTATTTAAGAGTTCGAGTTGTTTAGTTAAAAGAGAATTTTGCTTTTGAAGTGCCGCAACTTGCTGGCGAAGGGCCGCAAGTTCGGGAGAAGGAGGATCGACAGAAGGTGGTGAGAGAGGCTTAGAAGCAGCTTTCCCTGCCCAACTGCTCACCTGAGGTACCGCCGCTGGTGCTTCGAGCGGTGGGAATGTTTGAGAGTCGGCGTGGAGTGGTGGAGCCGAATGATGCAGGTTTGTGCTGCTGCCTGGCTGTGACGAACATGAGGTGGTCCCTCGAGGAGATGTTGAGGGCTGCTTGCGTTTCCGATATTTACGGTATTTTGCCGTGCAGCCACTGGTCCCAGTCTCATGGGCGCCGTGGCAGAGGAGGCACTTGGGGTGGCAGTCGTGGGCATTGAGACCTGCAGGTGCGGGGGTTCCACATTTGGCACACTGGGTTGGAGCGGCGTGAGGGCACTGAGGTGGTCGATGACCGATGGTACCGCACTTGGTGCATACAGGGACCGTTTTCTTGTAGGCGCAGATATACGTCGCCACGCAGTGGTAGAAGAGGAAGCGGGGTAACTTCGTGCCCTCGAAAGTCACCACCGCCGCCGCGGAATCTCCGAGTTTGCGGACCGCAAGGATAGTACCTTGAGGCCAATACAGTTCAGACTTTATCTTTTCCGGGCTTTCAGCAGGGTTTACATTGATGACGCCCTTGCATGTATCCCCTGGTGGCTTGGCGTGGCCTCGAACGGGCAGCTGCTGATCCCCCACTTGCAGCTGGAAGTCCCCGAGGAGTCGCTGTGCCATAGGCAAAATGGTGGTGCTACAGACCAAGATGTTCTGTTCCCAGATTGGCCACACTTGAATTTGCGTGGTAGTCCGGTCGCCGAGGTAGCTGCGGATGGCGTCGCCCGCGCGATCGGCCGGGACAAATGTGCGTAGCTCGCAGGGAACGCGAGGTTTCAGTACTACGATGTAGTCGTCGCGAGAAAGGCGAGGAGTTTGACGCGGACGCCACTTGCGTTGCTTCGCTGGCTGCGAGGACGGAGCAGAGGTAGGCACACCGCCGAAGGGATGGCGCGCCGGCGTTCCTTGCAAGGCTGGGGAATGGTGGCCCGCCGTGGCGTCTCGTTGTTGTTGAGACGCAGACTTCGATTTCGCTTGCTTGCGTTGCCACAGTTTCACCATGTCGTCGAGGTATTCATCTTCTGATGGCATAGTGTTTTCGGAGGATGAAATCTCCATGGACAGCATTTGGCTTGAGGTAGGATCATAGCCCGTAACCACGTTAGCGGCCGCCATCGCCGGGCTGAGAGCCCTTAGCGAGGCGGCGTTGTAGCCGGGAGTGAAGGACGTCCCTCAAGTTGTCAAAACTGGACCCACCTGGACGAAGGTGTTGTCTAGGCGAAGCGGAGAACTTGGCGGTGACGATAAATCCAAGTTTCAGGGGTACCAAGGTGGATGTCCGCAGAAATAGCAGAAAATCTACGGAGGCGATGTGGAGTGCGTCCGTCACCATCGAGCGCTCGCAGCGCCCCCCTCGAAGACCGTAGAGAATTCGTCTGGGCGAGTACGTAGTTCGTGGGGAACTCGTCTACCTACCGATAACAAATGCCTCTTCACCCGGCGATGTTCACCGGTAGAGATCCACTTTTCAAGCATCATTCATTATTTACATTTTTAAAAGATGTTCGCAATTTCCACGGGATCTACCCTGGTAATCTGTGGAACAACCTATCAAAAGGGGTTGTTGCTGCCGTACATACATTACAAAGCATGTTTCGTGGCCCTTGGGGACAAGAAAGCCGGAGAAACATTCGTGCACTATAATCTCTTCATAGCTTTATCATCAGAACCATTGACCACTAGTTTTCACTATACACATTTCATGTCACTCTCATAATTTTATTCCCTATATGTTTACCCACCTTTATAGTGAGGAATATTAGGCCCTTCTACAGCCACTCATCATACCCATAGCCCAAATCTTTTGCCGCATGTACTGCCGCTCTTTGGCCATAACGTGGCCCTTGCGCCAAGAAACACTATATTATCATCATCATCATCATCATCATCATCATTGGGAACTCGTATATGAAGGCGTCGCCTCAGATTAGGTGTGTGGGATCTTTGATGTTATGAAAGACGCCCTCTCAGGCCTTGCGCCATCTTGTGAAAGTCAACGGTGAGAAGCTAGAGCGTTCGTTACGAAGGTATGACTGTACTCATTTAACCATATGGTGTAGTAGCGCAAATTTCACGGGAACGAAGAGGACAAGAACATCATAACATGACATGACAGGTCAGTCATCACATAAGATTATCGCTTGTCAAGTGGAGCTCGATCACACAGGCAGTACGAAACCACGTATAAGATACAGAAAGCTTGCAATGCTTCCTATCTTGGAGGCACCGCAAAACGACGTTTGTTGCAGGAAACTTTCGTAGGCTGCTGGATAATCGGTACACAAGCTGAGCTCGTTTGAAAGAAAATATCTCTCGCTTTCTTTCTTCGTCCCCGTGAAAATTGCGCTACTACACCATATGGTTAAATGATGTCTCACCAACTAGCCCAGCTCTCAACCCTACTGAACTTCAGTATGACTGTACTCTTTAAATAAGCTTGCCCAGCTCAATCCTCTGCAACGCGCGCCACCACTGGTGCCACCAAAAACCACAAAACGAACGGCGGTCTGCCGGATGCAGTCCCCATGCACCACGAACGACTCGCCCTAATCAGCATCCTCAACGCCAGCAGTTTTAAATGACCGACCGCCGCATGTTCCAGGAAGAAGGGGGGGGGGTAAATTTCTGTAGTCCACAATCCCATAACTCTAAGGGAGCGTGACCTGGGAACATTTGACGACTATACCTTCTGCAACCTCAGTATGTTGGTGTTGGCGTTGTGCTTGGCCTCGGCTAGCGTGTCCTCCCGGCGCTGCAGCGAGAGGCGTGGACCAAGGGCGCTACGTTCTGTCCCGGCGGCCGCCACATCGGCGTACGGATTCTCGATGAAGGTGTGCAGCTGGACCCATTTCCAGTCGGCGCCGCTGAAGTTCTTCTCGCGACGCTGCTTGTTGGTCGACTGTTTGGCCGTGTTGCGAAGCGCCGTCACCACTACGTTCATGTTGGCCCTCTCCGCTTCCGACATCTGCACTAGGCCTGACAAGACCAGAAAATGGGGCGGGTTTATTTGAAAAGCTCACAATAGAAAGAAGGCACATTGCTTGCCCTGTTTATCTTCTTTAGTAGTAAAGAAAGTGGAGCTAGTTGCTATGAGGGCGTCGTGGAATAGCGCGACAAAGAGCCGGTAACACAGGCAAGTGAAATGACACGGGCGCTCACTTTCAGCTAAAAGTTGAAAGTTAGCGCCTATGTCCGATTTTTGCGCTATTCCACGATGAAGTACCTTCTCCGTATTGTTCTGCACTTTTCAATGAGTCCCTTTGCACAAGCCCATAACACAGGCGAAACCAACGGTGCTTCCCACTTTCTCTTTATGTAGATTCATAGAAAACAGGGATCTATAAAAACTCGAGAGAATCAGGATGGCGAGAAGTTTTATTTTCTATAATCAGCCCTTGTTGCCTATAAGCCCCTGCTCACTGGAGGAATGAAGCAGATCTGGGCTGCCTGAGTACAAGAGGTAACTGCCACTACTCGGCAGCGCAATTTTGTCACTCGTAGGAAGGCGAAGTCCTGTAACTGATCAACAAGGAGTAGATGCCTCGCGGACGTACACGCGTGGTGCAAAAATTACCACGTGATGGTGTCAGATGCGACTGATATCGCAACGTCACAGATCACAACGTCGTGACAGTTCCCTAACGTGAGATGACCTGTCAAAGTCATCACATAACTTTATCGCTTGCCAAGCGAAGCTCGATCACATAGGCAGTACGAAACCACGTATAAGATACAGAAAGCTTGCAATGCTTCCTATCTTGGAGGCACCTGAAAACGACGTTTGTTGCAGGAAACTTTCGTAGGCTGCTGGACAATCGGTACACAAGCTGAGCTCGTTTGAAAGAAAATATCTCTCGCTTTCTTTCATCTTAGATGAATCAATTGAGGACCCTGTGAGGTTGTTACAAGAGTTCAGAGCACAACATGGCGGCAGAAAGAAAACATTTGTCCGGAACGCGCGTATCTCTATCCTGCCTGCATCACAAGGATAATAAGGATGTATACGCACATTTCCCGCTTAAATTAACAGAGACTTGAGGTTGCTAGTAGGTGCACCCCACATTATAAAGTACGCAAGCAGTTGTCAATCTGGCACTCGTGGTGGTCTACGTAAGAGATAGGCTCACCCTTTGCCTGCGCAGGTGCACATAGGTTCCTGTGTATGTCGGGCAGCTACAACAAGAACTTTTGCTGCAGCCACGCAACATGCTAGATCACCAACTGCTCATGACAGGATACCATTTGTGTGTAGACCTTCTTATCAGCTGCTGTGAGTCTTCCTCAGGATTCAGTCGGCGTTTGTCGTTTCTTGACTTCTCTGCTAGGATCTGTGACTTGCGGGGCCGACCTTTTTAACCAATTCTTATGTCAAGCGAAACGGACCTCGTCTGTTAGAGTTCCCAGGCCTCGTGCTTTTTTTTTGTAACCACTAACAATGTTTATTAACGCAATATAAAAATACAGTTGCTGCTCACCCAATGCCCACATTAGCTGGGGTAGAGAGAGGGTGTTTATGGCTTGTACCAGAAACACCAAGCCGAGACGTATGGCGTCCTCCTGCAATGAATATGATAAAAAACAAAGAAGACGCGTGTTGTAGATACTGTAGCTCTGAAATATGCACACGAGTACTGCTACATATACTTGCAATTTAAGTTTCCTCTTTTGGCAAGACTACACGTTGATGGCGTCATTCACACGGCCAGGCGCAAAGAGTGAAGCTTTGATAAACTATATACTTAGTGGCCGCTAGCCCGTATAGTTAAAGGAATGAGTGTATGCACTCATTCGTTTACAACACCATCGGAAACTGCTTTTGAACAATCCATGACGAACGTACAGATCTTGATGCTAATTTTTTACTTGACTTGACTACAACGCGTTATCAGCCTCTGCAGCAGCATTAGGCAGTCAACGAACGCTGCACAAATCTCACCATATATCGCCTCCAAAATCTGCCAGCGCGTCCCCCACATTACAGAAGGCCGTCTCAGAGGTTATGCTGAAAAGTCGTATCGGTTTTCAACGACCCAAATTATGCTTTCTTTTCTGGTTTTTTGACGGCTACACTTTCTGTTTACGGCAAAAACCATGGACGGCCAATCAAAATCGTAGAGGAATCGTTGGCATTGGCGTCAACATATATTGATTGAAAGTATAAAGAACGTCAACACTAGATGGCTTCATCAGAACTTCACACTGCAGGAACTTAAGCTGACTTGCGACGACTATATATGACGCTATTACATGACGTCATCACTTGCTTAGATGTGAGAGGATGTTGTAAGATTTGTTTAACAAAATTAGGGGTGAAAATCTGAAACGTTCCGCATTCCTGGGGCAGTGCAAGATTGTATTAGGTGCACAAAAGTTTCGGAGAGAAGGCGGGGAGAGATCCGTATAGTCAATTAAAACGAAACAAATCTGCAGATACTCTCGCCTTTGAGCCGCCTTTGGAGAAATCATAAAAATATGACATCGTAAAAGCCATTCTTTTAAATATCGGGGTAAAATTTCAGATGTTCCCGCAAACCCTTCGCGGTGTTGCTTATCACGCGCTGTTAACCCTTTCAGCCCTGGATTTTTATTTTGGTCGGATACACTTTTTGTGAGCGTTTTTCTCGTAGTTTGGACCTCAGAAAACCACAAACAAAAAATTGAGCCACTGGAACCACCACTTTGTGATTAATCAACGTGGCATCAAGTTAGGTAATTAGGGCTCAGTGATTGGAAATGAAAAAAGGCTTGTTTTTTCTGAAAAAATCAATATTGAACACAAAATGGAAACCAACGTCTTACTTTTCAGCCTAATACTCACATAAACGGCTTTGGCACGTCGTCCCAAAAATGGCGTTTACCCGCCTGAACTTACGCGCCTTGGCTTCGCGGAAGACCTCTGTCGCGCTTCTTCTTTGTGGCTGCTACCTCTGCAAACGTGTCGCAATATTGATTTCTATTGCAGTGAGGATCATTGAAGAACTATACCCACAAGAATGAGCAGTATTGGTTGCGTTTCCGAGATACTAGGGGAAATGTGCGGTGGTGTCAATTGACACCGCCAGGGCTGAAAGGGTTAATTATCAGCTGCTCCCATCGACGGAGACAGTCTGGGCACGCGCCGCGCCGAGTTGGCCCGCCTTTCACGCCGCGTACGCGCCATGAAAGGTGCACGCTTCTAGTGGGGGTGCCACTGCAGGCACTACGCTCCTGACCGGGCTGCAAATTAGGTGCAGTTCTCCTCTTCTAACCACTACCACCACCACTGCAAGCTTCGCACGTTGGTTTTGGTGAGGTGATTTGGACATACTTGCATGGTCTGTGGCAGGTTGTGGTTTATCGAAGCTTTGTCTACCGAAAGGAAAGACCTAGCAGCGGTCATGAAGGCCAAGTAAGCCCCTAACCTGTTCCCCAAGCTTTACACAGGTAGTGCAAACTTCTTTCTTTCTAGGTGTCTAAATAGTGAAAGGAAGCTCTCGAATGCATTAGGTGACGTTTCAAACAAATATGTCACTTATCAAGCGAGACTATTTGCTTTCAATCGTTGCATGAGAAAGCACTCGTATTTGATGTAATTGACCAAGCTGGTGTGTCGTCTCTATTGCTGAATACCTCGGGGTACACTTGAAGCACATTTGAGCGTATATACGGCCTCCTACCCTGAGCGCGACGCTGACGTTGATGTTGGAAATCCACGAGGAGAGCGAGAATCCTACGATGACGGCGCTCTTGAAGTTGATCCAGACCAGAGCGACGCACTGGCGCCAGTTCAAATCGTAACCGGTTGAGCAGAGGACCGGGTACAGCACGAGCACCATCAGGCCCCTGAACGTAGTGGCAAGCACCATTTTAACCCTTTAAGCCCTGGAACTTCAATTTTATTGCACAAGTTTATGTTCGTGCTTTCTTAATTGCCAAAACCTGATATGGCCACAGACAAAAAAAAATGGACGAATGGTATAACTACTTATTGATTTGATATCGTGGCGTTGAATCAGGACGTCACAGCTTAGTGGTCTTGAAACACGAAAAACGGCTTATTTGTACTTACCACTCATTAGAATACGCAAAATATGAACCAACGTAGAATGTCGTTATTCGAAAGTTGCAGGTTTGGCCACTGTCCGAGGCAAGTTGTCTTTTAATTCCTAATAATATATTCACAATTAGATTACAATTCCTACATATAACGCCTCCTTTATTTCCCTTCGTTAACTGTCTGTTGTGCCTAGCAAAGACAAACTACCCCTTCAATTCCCTCTTTTTTATACAAAATGTACCCCATGCGTATACAGCTACCAAACGGCACATACAAAGAGCGACAGAAGCAGCCCTCTTACAAGAACAACGAAGATTTCCAGAAAACAAAAAAAAAAAGATATGGGCAGAACTCACGTACAGTGGGAATCGATGATATGCGAAGCACGAATGAGGGAGGTTGATATGTCACTTAAAAATCAGCACACCGTTACGAGGCGGCCGTACGTTATGCCGTACACGACTTCCATGTCATGATTCGTAAGTTTGAACGTGTCATTTAGCTTCGTTGTCTATTCACGTCACGTGATACCAAATTTTGCATATGTGGAAATAGCGAAAGGGTCACGAGTACGTTATGAGCGTAGCATGTAGTCATGTTTTACATGACACGCATATTATGATTATTATGTTTGAGCATGTCATTTACCTTCGTCGTCCGTTCGCGTAAAGTAATACCAAATTCGGTATACGTGAAGCTAGCGAAACGACTGCGAGCGTTGCGAATAGTCATGACTTACATGACATGCATGTCATGATTTCCCCGTTGGGGTTTGTCACTTATGTTCGCTGTGCAGTCATGTAATACTATGCGTGTTTTGAAATATGACGTGTGAATGAAACCACCGCAAGAGCAGCAAGACCATGACATCTAATTCATGACATGCATGTCATGATTTTTATATAATGACTACTGACATATGCTCGCCGTATAGTCAAGTTATGCCATACTAATTTTGGTATTTATACCATTATCGAAATGGTCAGGAGAGCTAGTAACTAGTATGGAGCTAGTATGGCATGTAGTCATGTTCTTACATGCCATGCATGTCACAATTTCAACGTTAGGGCCTGCCACTTACGCTCGCCATGCAGTCATACCATACCAGATTTGCAATATGTCGCTTGAACGAAACCACCGCAAGACCAATCATGACAATAAAGACATAGACGTCATGATTTTCGTGTATGACTAGTCACTTATGCTCCTCATACAGTCATGTTATGCCATACCTATTTTGGTATAGACCCCATCAAAAAGCTGAAACGGCCAGGATAGCTAAAAAGATAGATAGATAGATAGATAGATAGATAGATAGATAGATAGATAGATAGATAGATAGATAGATAGATAGATAGATAGATAGATAGATAGATAGAGAAAGAAAGAAGTTCGCTAATAAATGCTCCGCGTTAAAAAATGTGCGTACAAATAAGCTTCGGGGCGACAGCTCTGTTCCTCTCTTTATGAACCCGGATTGCGAGTTTGTGCTTGCGTTTCACCTTGAAAGTCAGCCGACATATAATTCCTCACTCTCGGTTTCAAAGAACATGCCCACTCGTAGCGGTTGCCGCGCAGCCTAAGGTTCGGTTGAACGGAGTGAGGATGACGTGAATGTTCACATTTATTCGCTTTCACAAGCTATTACTAATAAAAAATATACCTATGTAAAGAACTTCTCTTTCGTTTATATGTATTTTCGTACTTCTCCTTTTTTGTGAATTTTAAACCGAGTGAATTGATTGGTTGATATGTGGGGTTTAATATCAGATAATCACCATATGATTACGAGAGCCGCCACAGTGCAGGGGTCGGGAAATTTAGACCACATGGGGTTCTTCGTAAATGCAGCCGCCGCAGCAGGGATTTGACCCCGCGCCATGCGGGTCAGCAGCCGAGTACCTTAGCCACTAGACCACGGCGGCGGGGCTAAATCGGGCGAAGGGCGGGAAGTGGTTCACTTGCCGTTTGCAGCGCTTGCCTCTACACCTTCTCGCCCTGCGCTCAGCGATATTCGAAGTTGGATCGCGCTCAGTTATCTCGCTCGGTTCCCATATCAGCTATGGAAAAGATAGACAGCAAGTTCTGGCATGCAGAGAACGGAAGGAGCTATGCCGGACAAGTCTCCCCATGCCTTCGTCGAAGGTGGCTCATTCGGGGAACACGTGTTTTCCGCGGCAATGCTTAGGGCTGGCCCAGGAATTTTAAGTTCCGCGAAGGTTATTCAGCGTTTCCTAAAGTCCACGGGTAAGAATTCGGACCCATTATTTGTGCAGGTATTGCTTTTGCTTCTCTACATGAGTAAACACAGTTTTCTGCAAGCCTGACTTGGCTTACATAAGTGCAACGCCGCTTGACTGATTGCTGAAGACGGCAGCCAAGGTACTGCCGAAAAAATGCGTTTATTGGAAGGCTTTTGTCGAGTTGGCTTGGCAACATAGTGTTAGTTTTTTTTTTTACTTTTGGCGAGTAGTTCAAATGATTTCAAGTATTTGTAGGCTGCTTCCTACACATGAAATTCTTCTCGCCGCGGTTTCAAAATTTGCGAGTCTTTACTTCTAATTGTGTCACTCAAAGACACGTGACGAACGAAATGCTTCTAAATACTATTACAGAAAATATCAATGAAGCCAACTTCTTGGCCAATGAACTTTTCTTCAAGGCAACGCTGTGGCCCTTACGAAGACCAGTCAACTTGCCGAAACAATGATTCCAGAGACATTCTTAGTCGAAAAACGTCTGATCGGTTCAAGCCTCTCCGTGCCTCAACTTCTGTCTGATTTAGTACTCGATCTCTCTAAGGAACTATGCGCGCCGTCATAACAAACGTGATTTTGTCAAATACGACGTGTTCTACTCGTCATTGTTGATAATTTTTGCATTGGTTTGAATATCCTGGGTTTAACGTCTGCTCATTATGTCCGTATGTGAGTTGCGAGTTGAAGCTGCTTTTATAGATTGACACTTTCGCACTATACGTGTGCCCAGCCACGGGAGCCTAGTGGCAAAGGTGCTCTACTGCTGACCCGCAGGTCGCGGGATCAAATCCCGACTGTGGCGGCTGCATCACGCCCTGTGTGCTCAGTTTTGGGTGCACGTTAAAGAACCTCAGGTGGTCGAAAATTACATGTGAAGCCTTCCACTGCGGCACCTCTCATAATCATATGGTGGTTTTGAGACGGTAAACCTTTCATATCAATCAATCAACGCAACGTGTTTTTTTTTATAGAAAACGTCCGGTAAAAAAGTTCGTTTTATTCTTGCCGATCAAGTTTCGTCTTTCTGAGAAATCAGCCATCTAAATTTCCTCTCTTCAAAAAACACGAACAAAATTTAAAAGAACAGATTAGCAAAACTTTATGAGGAATTTCCCAAACGGTGCCCGGCCGCGGTGGTCTAGCGGTAAGGAATTCGTCTGCTGACCCGCAGGTCACGGGAGCGACTCCTGGCTGCGGCGACTGCATTTCTGATGGAGGCGGAAATGATGTAGACCCAAAGAACCCCAGGTGGTAAAAATTTTCGGTGTCCTCCACTACTGCGTCTCTCATAATCATATGGTGGTTTTGAGACGTTAAACCCCACATATCATCATCAATGCCCAAACGGCCAGCAGACCTGAAAGAAGGTACGAGCGCATTATGCTTGCGTGGGAAGTGGGAAAGGAGGGCTTCCTCGACAACCCTCTTCCTCTCAATTTCGCACCCTTTATCTGTATTTGGGCACCGCACCAGTGACTTTATAAAATTTTCAGTTCGTGATTTATTATCTAGTAAGGTGCCCGGCAACCACCAGTACAAAAGCGGTGCTGTCGCTGCCGGGAGCAAACACATAAAAGGTACAGGGAGTTTCTACCCCCCCGCTCTTGTCTGCATAGCGTTTCTGCTTGCCACGCGGCACGCCACTGCGGCGTGATTTTAGCTGTAGTTGCAGCCATCGCTGGACAATCTGGAGCTGCAGCCACCGCTGGAAATGCGCTTCCGACAAGCGCATTTTTTACTAAGCCTCTTGCCAGTTTGAACTAAGCTTTCGTACAGCGTATACATAAGCCAAAAGCGCAGCCTTTTTATAAAAGCGAATGCCGTTCATGCGTCATCAAATGGGTAGTTTGAACGTCAATGCCTACCGTGCTCCGCTGTCGAGGACCAGAGATGAATAAAAAAAAAAAGAATTATCACCTGATGATATGGGGATGATATGGGGATGTCAACACGTGATCATAACGTCATCACCAGTTTTTCGATCTCTGAAGTGATCATGCCCCCATGACGACGGCATCACAATGTCACAGATTGAAAAAAAAAACTGTGAAGTCATCATGTCATTAGAAATACCGGCGTGACACGTGATGTAACGTGACGCGATGCCGTTCTAGCGGGCTAATGTAGGCGGCCAACGCAACCAGAGGGCGTGTGGCGTCAAGAGAAGGAAATAAAGACAGCGGGTGGGTAGCTTAGGCGGAATGCTCAGGCAGGGAGATAGAGTTGCTGTGACCTGATGTACTGAACTCTGGTCTCCACTCACCTGACTATGATCTTCGCGGCGTAAGTGTGGCCTAAGAGGATGACGTCATCGGCGTCCAGATAACTGACGGCGTCACGGCCTACCTTGAAGGCGGCCAGGAACACGATGACCGTATCGTACGTGTATCGAAACAGCATCCAGAACCTGTTAATGTTTTAAATGACAATGACACAGCTGTCGCCAGACCCTCCAGTGTTCTTAACTTTGTATGTGTTCTTGTTTTGTTTTCACAAACGTTCAGTCTAGCGATGTGCGCCTTGGATTTCATTTGAGACCTAAATACGGCTCTCAAAAGCGCCGATTTTAGTTTGCTATTATAGGCAAACCCCGAGTGAAGCATGATGAATGAATAAACATTTTTTCAGAAGGTAACGCTACCTTCTCGAAGATCCCGTTGGATGCACAGGCAACTTAGGCTGTAGCGTATAAGCTTAACAGACGCTCATCTTAATGGCGTTCATTGGTTTCACGTCATCTGCCCTGGTTATCCATAGAATGACCTCTGAAGAGAGGACTGCTGCGATGGCTAAATTACAGAAGGCACTGGCCTCCCTGCCTTTGGCCAAAAGGTCCTTGAGGAGGCACCCATGGTGTTCATCCCGTCATGATTTTTCTATCATAACCGTTCGCCGCTCATTTTAAATGCACACATTACGTCTCATGTTTTTGTCATATATTTTACCCGTCTTTATGGCGAGAAATTTTAGGCCTCTGTGCAGCCGCTTAACATAACCGTTATTCACACTCTTAATCATGCGCTGGCGCTCCTTGACCATCAAATGGCCTTTGGGCCAATAAACACCAAATATTATCACTATTAAGAGACACTCGCAACGTTCAACTACCAGAAAGTAACATAGTCAGCAAGCAGACGGAGTTGAGAGGTATCGAGAGAGCGCGCACAATTACGCGCACGTTAATATCAAATGCCTATAGACCAGTGATTCGTAGCCATGGATGTTTCGCGGATTTTTGTGGACCGGTGGAAGAACTGAGGGATCTCTTGCAGCGAAAGAAAACAAAAATGTGTTGGAAAGGGAGGAGGCGCACAAGTACATGTGATCAATTAACACAACTTGCAGCGTCAAACAGTTTAACTTTTCTCTTAAAAAAGAAGTGTTAACATAGAACTCTGTGCCTATTCCATCTCGACTGCTTGACGATAATTGTGTGGTCTGTAAACAGGTTTAACTTGCTTGCACCTATATTAGCTCCTCAAATATGCAAACATGCAATTGTCGTCACGTGCATATATAGAAAACGGCGACAAAAGCTTTACAGCCGTCTCATATATAGAGAATAGGAAGAAAAATTACCTCCGCCGCCATTCAAAAATATTATGTCCCGAAGCGTACAAAAAAGGGAAAAAACATCATTACGGCACATTTGTTTTTCATTTTTTACGGGATAGGTTTTGTGAACTCCCCCCTCCCCCCGAAAAGGCAATGTGGCCTAGTCCTTGTGTAAGGCAATGAATGCACTGAGCCACTACATCACCGTAAAGCCGATGCTTGTGGTGCCCCTGCCGCTGCCACACGTGTAAACGCTAAAGTGTGTCAACACACATTCATACAAATTCCATCCCAAAAGAATGAATCAATGATGTGCTCTCCTTAGGGTATAAGTCGTCACTCAATCTGCTCACGCACGTCGGTTAAAAAAAATAAAAAACGTCCTCGGTTATACACGGACATATAGGCCCATGATGAGCATGATGATGCATGCAATTACACGACAGAATCATTACCGTAATAAACTCATGAATGCAACACTGCGCACTCGCATGTTACATGAACGTACACGCATCCGCTAAATTCAGAGATGAAGGGCAATGCGCGCACAAATGTTCACCAGGTTGGCGCTGAGCGCATTGTACGCCTCGTGTGGTGGCTGCTCTAGCCATCTAGAATATAGATGATACATCGCGGCAACCACTAAGACAAGGTATGCACTCATTTCAATCGCTGCTTTCTCGGCCTTTGTCACGACTGCACTGGACAGTGTAACGTCTCTGGTAGCAAAGCTACAAGACTGAAATCTAAAATAAAATATACAAGCTGTTGGGGACACCAGCTTGTAATTCCCGCATCAAATGCCATGACATTATAGATTTCGACTGTGTCTATAAGGTATTTCGTAGTTCCTAATCGGTAGAAATGAACTAAATTGTCACCTGACACAGCACACCAAATATGGGAGAATTTTGTGGAGCCTATGGGGCCGGAATACGGAGAGTGATATAACGTCATTTGCGTGTGTTTCACGACATATGCATGCACGGCCTTTCTATTTTGCACTTATGACCTTTCTAAATTTGTGATCTGACGCGCGATGATTTCGGCGCGAAGGTTAAAAAAGACAGTTTGACCTCCTCCGCAAATAATACAAAGATTATGGTGAACTTGACGACACTCGAGCACTCGGCGCACATCTATCAATAGAGGCTATTTCATTGTTTTACTCTGGTGTTCAGTTAAAGCGGCCCTACAACCCCTTTTTAGCAAGGTTAGAAAGCGCTCCCGATCTGCAGTCGAAGCTTTGGTGAAGATGCGAGCCGTGCATTACAGCGCAGCACGCGGTCTGAAATTTTCAATTCATTCTGAAACTGAGTCAGCAAGAGGTCGTTCCCTCTTTTTCCAAAAAAAAAAAAAAATGATACCATAAGCCCATAGCCGTTGTTTCATTTGAGTGTCTTGAAGCACATGGCGCCGCGTGATGCTACCACATGCCCGTGCAAGCATGCACTCACGATCACACTGAGAGAAAGCCCTGCGTTTGAAAAAAATATATAAAAAATTGCTCAGGCTCATGACGTGCGCAGGCAAGGGGGTCAACCTTCTTGCACCCTTGTGATCCCACTCTGAACGTAGCTTCGAGTGCACTTACTCGTATGAAAGGAGAGAGGAAGCTCTAGCAGCGTGGACACATTCTTGTAACTACGCTAGCAGCCGAATTCTGAAAATATTGCGGTAGTCGATTCATGAAACAATAACCTTTTTTTTTTTTAATGAGACTATTCGACGATTGCTTGGAAAAGCGTTTCGGAGCCACTTCTAAGTGGAACAAGGCAGGCAGGCATTGTGTGATGGTGGCCTCACTTTCGCAGCACTATCGGGTCCATGATGGTGGACGCGCTGTGCGCGCTGGCGGTCAGGGCGAGAGCGATGATCGACGTCACGCCGCTGCCCAGGAACGCGTGCTCGGCCAGCAGAAAGGTCAGGTAGACGGCGCACAGCGAGACCAGGTAAGTGATTGAAACGTCCTGAGACAAGGCGATCAGCAGGTAGGCCAGCAGGTGGCCCACGAGCTTTCCGAACAAAGGGCCCAGAACAAGGGTGGTCAGCACGAACACGCCAAAGTCTGTGGGAGAAATGAAGCCCGTGCTCTTACGTCCACAGAGTAAGAGTTCTTCACCCTTTAGGGCGTATTGCGTGATTGAATAATTTATTGATTAAAATGCCGTTAATGTTAGAAGTACATTACCATATCGGTTAGTCACCTTATAAGTGTATGTGGGTGTCCTTTTAGAATTGACACTTGCGAATATAACAACTACATAACACCTTAGGTCTATGCGCACCTACTAATGCCTATCCGTCCATATAAAACTGTTTCATTCAGAACTATGTTGATGACTTATATCTGGCGGTTGCTGTATTGCATGTGTTAAATTTTATTAATATTTGCAATTTGGCGAGGTGGTGCATAGCCAGTGGAAAATTTCAGAGGTCAGAACAGCAAATGTCCCTAAACCCCAGTGCTTTGAAAAACTCTGCGCCATCATTCAGAACTATAGGGTGAAACCCTTTACAGAACATTATCAAGTGTTCGGCAGTTTCTTCTCCCTCTCCACACGCACTGAATACCGTGTCTACCCCTTCGTATTTGGCCCGATATGTCTTTGTTCGCAATACTCCCGTCCTGGCCTCAAACAGTAGAGAACTACCCCGAGTATTATCATAGATCCTTTCCTTGGCTATTTCCTGCTTAAAAGTTTGATAGATCTCTAGTGCGGACTTCTTAATCATGCCAATTCTCCAAATATCGGTCTCAGCTTCCTTCACCTTCTTAACCGATAAGTCTTTTTGGTTTGGCCCTCTGCTGTTTTCTAAGTATTTACCAGTCATTTATCTGACACGCTTTCTCCATTTTGTATCGACATTCTTCATGTGCAAGTAGCTGAATACCTTCCTAGCCCAACATTCCTCTTCCACTTCTCTCAATCGCTTCCCAAATTTTATCTTGCTACTAACTTCCCTGCCCTCAAATGATGTCCATCCCATATCACCTTGTACTCCGATTTGGCGTAGGAGATTAGAGGGGGCGCCACCACGCGATGTGCTTTTTGCGCCATCTTGCTGGCAATGCTGAAAACACTATTCCGTCAGAGATACTAGTGAGCAGCGGTAAGCAGTAGATATAAGTAGCTTGTTATTTGAACGTTGAAGGATGTGCTGCGAGGTGGCTCAGTGGTTAACACCTCGTTTTCATGACGCAGAGGTCCCACATTTGATTCCGCGTGCCAAACTGTTTTTTTCTGGATTTTAACATTTTTTTGCGTTTATATATATATATATATATATATATATATATATATATATATATGTATATATATATATATACGGGACATGACATCGACGCCGACGGCGGCGGCAAAATCCAGCCGGAAGTGTCCAAATAATTACTATTGCATTCTCATTGCCCATTCACGCTCAGGATGAGTGGCACATGGCGCCTCTGGTCAAACGTTTTCCGATAAGGCAAGACCTCGACACATACGAAGAAAGCGGTTACATGGGTTGGCTGTTAATTCCAAGTCACGGGTTGGATGACGGCTGCTTTGGTAGCAGTTCGATGGAGACAATAGGGGAGGGCCCCGTGTGTGAAGTCGGTGCACGCCAAGGAACCCCAGGTGGTTGAAATTTCCAGATGTCTCCACAAGGCATCTTGAATAATCATGTCCTAGTTTTTGGGCGTTATACCCCAGATGATATTATCAAGACACGAATGAATTTTTTGTAGGTGAAGTTGCGTATTTACGACCATTACTAGTTTACAGATGCGGCAACTTCGAGAAGTTCTGGTGAGGAAAGACACCTCGCTGCCGCTTATACTGAAAGCCATGGCAGCAATTTGTGGACTACTTCACTAATATACCAAACATTGCTCTGCCGCGGTGGTCTAGTGGCTAAGGTGCTGCTGACCCGCAGGTCGCGGGTTCAAATCCCGGCTGCGGCAGCTGCATTTCCTATGGAGGCGGAAATCTTGTAGGCCCTTGTGCTCAGATTTGGGTGCACGTTAAAGGACCCCAGGTGGTCGAAATTTCCGGAGCTCTCCACTACAGCGTCTCTCATTTTGGGACGTTCAACCCCACATATCAATCAATCAATATACCGAACACCATGTATAATTTCTGTGTCATTACAAGCAGTTTTGTTGAATGAGATTCCTTCCCGACTTCTGGCGCGGATATTTTTTTAAACTCTATAGCGCCTGTCATCACCATGGGAGGGGATGTTGGGAAGAAAACTCAACTCCCGCACCCCTGGTGATTAAGTCCAACATATCCTTTGCCAAGAATCGGGCCGAAGGCAGCCATGAGGTTGCAGTTCTAGTCTGTCTAGCACTGCTGCCGCACACTTTCGTAGCGGTGCCACGCCGCGGCGCCATTTCGAAGGTGGTCTTCAGCTACAGACAATATCTGAGGTTACGTCGAGGCCTCGCACACTGCCATATAACGTTGACGGTCGCCACCCAGTCGTTCATCGTTGTTCTCGAAACCGTGAAACTCTTGTGACCACTTGTGGCGATGTGACCCCAGGGGAAATCGCAGAGCGCGCCAACGCGAAGCACTCCTGCTGGTTCGGTAGCTGCATGACGCCACCCCGGGGCTCTCTGCGTGGCTCGGGTGGGCTGGCCTCCAGGTAATGTGACGGGACTACATTCAGCAGGACGTTGGTGGCACTCAAAGCCGGAAGGATCAGCAGCGCCGCAGAGCTCGACGTTCTGGAGTTGATCGTCGAGCAGAGTCGTGCTATGGTACGCCACAGCTGTGTAGCGCTGTCCAGCCATTCACACGTGGATCCCGTGGTTATGCCCGAGGAGAAGGAGACAATCCCTGTATTCACTTGAACGGGATCTTTGTCAGGCGGAGCATTGGTAGCACCCATTAGCGGCAGGAATGTCGAGATGAGCGGGAAGTTGTCGCGCTGGAAGCACGAACAGCGTTCCCGGGAAACAGGAGGCTGTGTGCCCTCTTAGCGACGCTGGTGTACGCCAAGGAAGCCTGGACGGCGTTCCTTGAATGCGCACGGGTTTGTCTCAAGTCATACTTTGGAACCACCGAAAAGGCACTGATACCGTCTACGAGTGATTCAATGGTTAGCTACCGCAGCGATCGGGTGGAGAAGTTCGTGGTCGAGGAAGCGTGGACGGTGTTCCTATCATGGAGAGACCCACGCTGCCGACGGCCCACGTGGCTACAGACAGGTGACTTGAGCCACAAGGTTCAGTGGTCAAGCTCTGTCTTTGTAAGGAAGCAGACAGGGACCACACGAGATTCTGGGCCAGCTGCTGTGCTGCTTGGTCTTCCTCTGCCTGACTTGGTCATGAGTCATGATAATTGGTAAACGTGCATCGAAACAAGCAGACACATATCCACTGATACAAAAAAAAGCCAGCCTCTCCATCGCCTTTTGTATGCTTCACTCTTTAAAGAAAGTATACATAGTGCTATACTTACTTTATGGTATTATGCTGTTGTCGCAATTTACTACGCTTGTAGTAATTAGACAGCAACTGTAAAATCAGTAAATCTACTATACAATGATGATACTTACGGCTACTTCCAGCAGGGAAGAAGTAATAAAAAGTAGCATTACTACCCCAACAAGCTGAATGCGAAAAGTGAGACCTTATACATTTTCATGTGACGTGGTAAATACGTTCAGCAATGACGCCACGAAATACCAAGTTACTTTGAGGCATGGCCGAACCATGAAAGAGACTCTTCATAAAGGCGCCAGCAGATTTGAAAGGCCTCCATGCTATATGTACTAACAGCAATCGGAAAGATGCATATAGCCTTACTTTGGTGTAGCATACGTCGTACAGGTAGCTAACCGTCAACTCAGATTTAGATTGATGTTCGGACCTGGTTCTTTATACTTTCTTATGTTCACATACGTCCATCATGAGGCAGAATATGTTATTGCAACAAAACTACGAAAAGGCAATTTTTTTTCTTCGTGAAGCCACCAGAAGTGGTAAGATTACTAAAGCTTCAGGTATGGTGTAGTTGCCTCTATTACCACATTGAATTTTGCAACAATATTACAATACTTACTACCCCTACGGGAGGAAACGTTAGCGAAATGTAGTAAACGTGCCGAGGGTACTAGATGCTTTACATCCTTTACCTTGCACCTTTCTTTTTTTAAATAGTGATCTAAAGCTTACTAGAAAAGCTGAACTCCTTGAGGACGGCAACGGTGTTGTAGATAAACCAGTAGAAAGACAGGCCTACCAGGGACTCGATAAACCAGTAGAAAGACAGGCCTACCAGGGACTCGCCCATCACTAGAGTCTCGAGGATGTGGGATTTGGCTGCACGAGAAAACAAAGAAAAAAACATACGCAAACACAGACGGGCAATAAATGTTATCTAACGTACACGTACAGATTCGAAACAAAGCAAGAGTGAACCAAGAAACGCAAGTGCCCAACGACCAGTTAGAGGCATTATAGGTAATGACTAGCCGTCTATCAACAAGATAGTTGTGGTGGTATGGCTCCGTTTTCGCTCATGGTGCCAGGTCATCACGAAATCGGAGGAAATGTGTTGTCGAATTAGGTAGCTGCATTGGTCCACGAAAGTGCTACCAACAGATCCACAGCAGTCCCGGCACTAGACCTAAAACCCTTCCTAAAAATAGTTCAGGGAAAATACTGGCAACGATCATGGGACAAACACAAAAGAAGCTACATGTTATCAAACTCCTGATAACTGACCATCACTTTCGAGGTGTCACCACGCAAAAATAACACTTACCAGGTTAAAAATGGGACACACACACATCACAAATGCATATCTTCTGTCTGGTGGTGACTTAGCGAGCAGCGAGATATGTGGAGAACCCCTTACCGTTCCCCAGATCCTACTCAGTGCAATGAATTACACGTTATGAGAAAAAAGCACTTTTCATTACTTCACCGACTGCAACCTGCAGCACGACCTTCTGAAAAGGGGTTGCTGCTGCAGCAGTTACATGACAGAACACACCTGCTTCCCAGCCTTTGGCCACCAAGGCTTGAGAAGGTATCTATGGTATTGTCCATCCTTAGATAGTTTTATCACAACCATTTGCAGCTCATCTTCACTGCACACATTTGTACCAGTCCTGTGATTTTATTTATCTGTTTTACCCGCCTTTAGTGAAATTAATTTTTGCTCTATATACAACCGATTAACATACCCATTGCCATCATCTTCTGCCCCATGTACTGGCGCTTTTTAGTGATCACATGGCCCTTAAGCCAAGACACTACATATCAATCGAGTAATACAATCACAACTTTTTCCTTGAAGAAAGAAGTTGTGGTACTTTAGTACTTTCGCACAAGCGGGAGAATATTTTCGCGCTTTTCAGGTACCTCACAAGAACTCCTAAACATTTCGACGAGACTGCTTCTGTAACCCAATGACGTAAACACTGTAAATAGTAGCCTTGATGCAAAAAAGCCAACATGAGCACCTAGAAGCGAATACAGGAGTTTGTGTTCTCCGAGGAGATCATGGGAGGGGCAGGCTTTTGTAAGTCGCTTGCCTGAGTATCGGCATCACTAGCGAGTACCCTTATTTTTTTATACATTTCAAGTGGATGAGGGAGAAAATGTATCTTGAGGATGTGATTTGAAGGGGGTCAAGTGAGTGTTTCGTCAGTATTTCGCTGAAACCGCCGTGTTGTAGCTTACGTCTTGAACAAGCATATAGAGGGAAACGAACGGCGAGATTTTGCATGTGATGTGGCGTGCGGCGCGACGATGCAGCGGCCGGAGTTGTGACGCTTCGCGATGGTTCATGGCATCGCAACGCCGCGTCACATGTTCGGCGTGCACCCTATCAGGCGCATATTTTCGTCACCGCGTCAAAGCGTCGCATTACCACTGCCAGTGACAGCTCGAAGACGGGTCATCATGCCGCTGGTAGCGCCATCGCCCTGTCACCGCTCCCATCAGTGTCGGCAAGGAGAGTCGATGGAGTGGAGCGAGCCTGCATTTGCTGACATCGTCGGTTGCGGCGGCGTCATAAACATAGTGTACATTCCCCTAAGGCATGAAATTATTCCGAATTGAATGAAGTGGAATTTGAAGTGTGCCATTTCTACTAGATAACGCCAGTTATGGAAGCATTAGCGAGGTCGTGAGCAGCGATGCAAGTCCATTTCGCAGGTAAACATGGTGACACCATGCGCCTCTCTGAGCCGGCTCGCTTCGCTTCCACCTTTGAGTCTTCCAATCGGTAGCGTCAAGAACGTTGTTAGCCTGTGCCGGCGTATTACGCACAAGTGCAAAGTGCACTATGAGTGCGTCATTCTTAGAATTCTTGTAAATGCTGTATACATTTCTGCTGTGTAGGTGGTTCGATGATGGGGACGGGTTGGCACGTTGCCATACATTAGGGTGCCTTTTCTGCCATTTCTACAACTTATATGTATGATAAATGTACAGTACACTGTACACTAAAACTGCTTGATTGGCTGAAATGAGGCTCTGTTCTACATGAAAGCTTCAAATATACCATTAACGGTGTATTAAATTATTACACATCCTACATGTACATTAGACATTCATCCATATGATGGTAAGCATGACTTCATTATGCGAAGGGGAAGCGTGGCCGGGAAAATTGCCCGCATGATTCGCCTACCTGTGGTCAGAAATTGAATTTCCGTGTAGTACATCGGTTCCGGGCAGCAGACTAGGAAGCCCATGAGCGCCGACGTGGCAGAGTTGTCTCCGAGGCTCTCCCGGTCACTGCCCGAGGGGTCCCGACCACCGATGCCTTCTTTGCTCGAAGGCACCATGAACGTCATGTACAGTACGAACATGCACACGCTAAGCACTGTAAGAGAATCAAGTGTATGCACTCATGCTTTGGCGTGTGTGAGAGGGCTGTGGCTGTGGATGTGGATGTATTGTGGTTCATCCTATGAATCGCCTCACAGATTTCCATCACCTTGTGAACTATCACGCGCCAGTTTGGTGTGCTCCTCTTGTGGTGTTCCCCTGTGCTAAGAGGTTGACAACGTACCCCATTAGAAAACAGGGGTGGGTTTTCTAATAAGCACTGAGAACAGAACCCGTTACCTACAGCATTAAAAACGTTTGGGTGCACGCTAACAAAGCTCAGGTAGTCGAAATCTCCGGAGCCCACCACTACGGCATCTCTCTTAATCATATGGTGGCTTTGGGACGTTCAACCCCACATATCGATCAAATCAGCATTCAAAACGAAAGCTCTACTATGTAACTAACGACCGCAGCGATGCTTTCAGTGACTCCATAAAAACCATAAGAGGTTGAATTTTATGTCTGAAAATGCGCCAACTACTTATCTATAAGACGCTTGGATTCTCGCTGTACTCGCGCAATCATCCACTGGAAAATGTTTTGTAACAGCTCGGCTCTTAAAGAAATGAAATATCGAGGCTTACCGAGCCCCACGCCTCCCAGGAGCACGCATTGCCAGAAGCAGCGCCAGAATATGTGGTACCGCACGTTGAGCGTCACCGTGAACACCAGCACGGGCATGTACAGGTGCAGGAGCTCGCCCACGTTAGCGTCGGTTACGGGCAGGAAGGTCTCCTTGTCTCCGTAGCGGTTGACGAGCCAGCCGGCGAGAAATCCCCAGGCCACCGTGATGGCCACCACTGGCAGGTTTATCACTCGCTTCACCATTCGCAGCACCGCTACGCGGGTAGAACAACCAGCACCGGTGTAATTCGTTTGGGGAGAGAAGGGGGTCCTGACCATTTTTGTGTTCATGGTTACACCTCTCGCAAATGTTCCTCTAGAATTTTGTCTTTAAAAAAAACATATATTTTAAGTGCTTGTGTGTTGGCTATCATGCAATTTTCTTGTTTTTCATTTGTCAATACTTGAACCACATAAGCGTCATGGCACCATTTGGCCACTCATGGCCCTTGTGCCATAAAACAATGCTAACCATATCATCATGCTTATTTATTTTGTCTCTTTTGCAATACTTTTGAGCTGCGTGGGGCTATCTAAATCACAGCTGCCTGTTTACGGCTTTTCTACAAGACTCAGTAATTCAACAATGCAGAGACATGACATGGAAATTCCATGTGCAGTTTACGTCTCCCCTCATTGACTGGGCCCGCTGAGCCACCTTAACCACAACACTTTCCCCAACAGTTTCCGCTTCACCCTGCAATGTTTGTCGGCAAGGAACCTCTTTTTACACATAAATCGCTGTTAGGATTTTAAGACCTAGGCACTTTTCATGTCATATATCCGGGCCTTCCGTAGCACGACCTCTGAACTGAGGTCACTGCTGCGGTGGCTACATCTCCGCCATGCTTTTATTATGATCTTAAGCCGTTCATTCTAAATACACGTTTCATTTCGCTGTCATGATTTTAATGCTTCTATGTTGTCACCTGCGTTAGCGCGAAGAATTTTAAGGCCCTCATACAGCCACCTATTATAACCATTATTCGTTTCTCTTGACCCATGACTTGGCGCTCCTTGGCCATCAAATGGCCCTTGCGCCGTGAAACACCACACATCATCATCATCATCATCACCACCACCACTTTAGCTATTACTCCCTGAGAATGTGACTGCTGACTTTTTTGTTTAGCGGGCAGCTCTGCTACGCAATGAGAGGTCTGTATCGAACTTACAGGACACTATCACAACGAGCAGTATCAGCAACGTGCCGTACTCCGGAAGGCTCTCGTAAGCTGCCGTGCTGATAGCCGGATCCTCCATTTCTGCAGTGCAAATGAATTTGCGTAAGCATTGAGTTACCTGTCCTAGTAGAGCTCGTCACCAAGCAACAACACTTGAAAAGCAAGCGATACATTAATATGTACGTGTCTACCATACGGGTGGGTAGCATATAAAACTTTCAAACGAAATGCATGCTGTGAACTTGTTTAGTATGTTGCTACGGTATAAGCTGGGTCATGCTACATGAGCCATGGAAGAGAAAGATGAGTAGGTTAGCCGGTTTGGCTATGGATGCCATCATCGCCTATCGTTGCACGACGTTTTCTTTAAGGAAACGCAGTTACCAAAGTTACCAACCATAACATTTCTTTGTCCGGCTCATATTTTCTTGCAATATGTATAAGTTCAATCTCTAGGAGAAAGGGAAACGAAGAAAAAATGCGTGGAGTTGGGAAATAATTGTTAAGCTCACGTACAGCCTCACACTATATTATGTTCGGAATCAGGCAATGTCATTTTTTATCGCATCAGTTACATACCACTTGATTAGTTATCATAAGAGAAGTACACCAACGCTCTTACATTACAATTACATCTACAAACGCTACCCATAATTTCCATGGCATTATTGTCTGTTAGTTCTCTATAACAAAAAGAAGTTAGATGAACTGACGTGACAGCCCTCTTAGGTCATTCAGTGAAGCACTGGTTCCCAAATGGGGTTCCGCGTAACATCTGTGGGACATATGTGATAATCGGCATCGAGTCAATTATCTTATAGGATAATGCTTCCTTAGTACCATTGGCTGTTGGCTTCATACAGTTGCGTCTTGTAAAGTACAAACGCTTTAATACAGTCATCTCCTTTTGTTCAAGGTGTGGCAGTGTGGTACCAACAATGGCGGACAAGTATGCGAGAGGCTGCCATCTCTAGGCCGCCATTGTGGAAATTACAGAGTTAAAACCGAAACGCAGAATGCTGGCTACGAGGATAGTGGTGCACATTTTAGGGCAGTTAAAGCAATTCCTAACAAACCCAGGCGGAACGTTTCATCTTACCTTGCGCCGGGATCAGGGATCGTGCACTGAGGCAAAAGGGTGGTTTCTTCTTCTGCTTCTTCTGCTTCTTCTTCTTCTTCTACCAGTTGTTCTCTGCTTGTTCATTCTTGATCTTGTTCGCCTACTGTCCGTGGCGCATACCCACTACTGGGGATTCCCTGTCCCGTATTTTTTCTGGTGTTGCGCTGTAAGTTCACGATGGATCCTAACCAACTGGCCCAACTTGCCGTCTTACTGGGGATTGGCCAAGAATTGAGTGGTTTTAAAAATTATTGTTCAGATTTAGAATAATGGAGATATAATAAAAAGATTACCGATAACCTAGGAAACTGTGGTGCTTGATCTAATGGATATGATTATTTTAGCCTTCGAATGAAGCAATAATCTGATTTTATACGTATAAATTTTTAAACACGTTAAGATAATGAAACAGATTAATTAGTCAACCAATTAGGTTCATCAATATAATCTCGTACGGCCGCGAATACTGTCGCATTAGAGAACCCAGAAATGGAAGCTCCAAAAGACAAAATCACAGGTACAGAAATATTCATACCAATATCCCCTAAAGGTATTTTTCAAAGGGTTTTTCGTAATGTGTTAAACCGCCTGCAGGTCAGAAAGAAATGATCTATTGTTTCAAGTTCATCACAGAACGCGCACAGTGGCGAAGGTTCCTGAGCAGACCCGTGTTTATAGAAATTTGGATTTCGTACCCGGCAACGTGAAATATGTGGTATCCTATTTATGATATCTGCACTATTGTTCACCAACAAATATTGTTACGCTTCGTTGTGTTCCTGGGCCAAAATGTGAACCAGTATATATATAACCGAATGGATGGTATATTGGCCTACGGAGCGTAAGGCGGGGCATGTGGTAAACGGCAATATCCCTCTTAAAAATATACTCCATAACTAATATCAGGTGGCTGTTATTAAGGGCATCAGATATGTACTACTTTATAAAACCAATAATATTTCAGGTAGAAAATTTAGGATTTCGTATCATTATTCTCCTTCGCATGTGCTCCTAACAAGCAGAATATAAATTTTACAGGTTCAAATTCACAAGGCACCCCGGTTGCCTTGTGTTTAGCACTGGTCTTTCCATGTATGGTCAAATTGTAATTGTTATACTTTAGGAGAAGACGACATGCTCTGTTCTTGCCGAAAATGATTGGTAAAGCATTTAGCAATGTTTTCGATACTACTCACTTGCAGCCACTATAATTGCTGGGGAATTACCACTAATGGTTCTATTATTACGACATTTCACCATTCATTCTCATTATACAAGTTTGACGTCACTTTCATGGTTTTAGCACTTTCATGTTTTACTTGCCTTAGCGCCATGAATTTAAAGATAACTTTATAGCCACTTACGACACTCATTGTTCACATCCGATGTCCCTGGGCATGTAACTCTTTCGCCACAAAACGTTAGACACTGCAGTATGCAGTAGGGGACGTACTGAAATTCATTTACTGACAACTGCGCAAGAAACAGTACATAAAGAAAACAAAGAAAAAATCGGAAGGCTTTACTGCCTCACGGTCTCTCTGCATTTTTACATTTTCGTGACGTCCTCGACATGACGAATTCACCTTAAGAGGCTGCCTCAATTTATTCAGCTATAAACTAACAAAACGATCTTTGTACGTATTGTTGTGGGGTATTTTGTTGCACGTGCCGTACAAAGGGAAAAGGACCCAGGATGATGGTAACACAAATTGTCACTCGCACTGCCTCTATGAAACAACACTGAAGGACGTCTGCAACAATATTTGCTTTAAAAATGACACGCCTGCGCGGAAACAGCATTTTTTATCATTTTTCATAGCGCTCTTTGGCTAAGCCTGGCCCTTGCGCCATTAAAACCCACATATCACCATCATCATAGACGTCATCATCATCTTCTCCAATAATGAACTTATGATCGTGAAACTTGTGATACTGTAGTTATAAGAGTGCAGTTTGCCAATCTAAACTAAGTTATTGTATCACTTTAGCGTCGCTTAACACCACCACTAATGTACTACCTTAATCTTAGTGTACTAGCCATCCGAAAGTACTGGCTGTTGGAATTTCTTGTTTGGCACTTCCTGCTTTGCTCCATCTGAAGTGGAATTTTTCAAAGTTTCGTTCTGTCGCTTTTTTATTTCACACTTTCTTTCTTTGTTCCTTTTCTTAAAGTGTTCCACTTCATAAAGCAGTGATTTGCTTCAAATCAGCCGACATCCGCTCTGAATATCCTCGCAAGGGCGTCTGCGTAAGCAGGCGTTTGGTGTGTAGCGACACCATGGACCCGAGCTAACAGGGGGGGGGGGGGGGGGGGTCGACTTCTTCCCAAGCCTAGCTGTGCATGGCTGAGCCGTGTCCGGGGAAAAGGAGATCCTACGGGCTGAGGCTATGCCATGTGATTGGACCTTTAAGGCACCCTGGTGGAAGCAACAAACCTCTTTGGCCCCGACCGACTTCATGTAGAAGGCACTCCTGGGCTGACCCACCCAGCGAAAATCGGCAGTTGCCTTTTCCTGCCTCTCTTTCTCTCCTCAACTTCGTTGTCCTCTTTCACTCTTTTATAGATCCTGTCTAGTTCTCTCTTCTGTTTACTTCCGATCTTTCTTGGCGGCAAGGGTTAACCTTGTGTGGATGCCCAGTCTTGGCTATTTCATATTAAGTTATAGCAGCGCTGTACAGCTGGCGTTCACAGGATTTGCCCAGCATCTCCTGCCCCGTACCCTAGTTAGGCTTGGTGGTGGTCGGCTGGCACCACTGCCGATCTTAAACGACCTGTTATGTTATGTGCATCCTCTTCCAAAGATAATCGTAACCTGAAAAGGTTGCGCACTGAAGCACTCGCCACTTTTTTTTTTTTTTTCAAAGAACAACGAACGCTTTCCAAAGTACCATGTAATACATAGGGAGCAGTCTGGTGGAAAATCAAGAGCTATCTCTCCGTTCTTAGTAGCACGAAACTTAACAGGAAAACTAGGAACTTGCTATAAGGCCTCTATGGTGGTAAGCGTCGATCTGCTGCTTGAACTGCGAGACAGAAAGATATATGAAGCCCTCCGGAATCTGACAGCCATTGGAAACATCCCTACCACAGTCAATGCACATAGGTCTATGAATACCGTTTGAGGTGTTGTCTCTGATGACGATTTCCTGAACCTAACTGAAGCTGAGCTCTTTGACGGGTGGAAAGAGCAAAGTGTTATAAACGTTCGAACTATAAAGATCAGACGGGACAACACAGAAAAGTCAACGAACATATATACTTACATTTGAATTCAGTTAACCGCCAGAACCAATTGAAACAGGCTATACTGTAAACTCCGAGTGCGACCTTACGTACACCCGCGAAGGTGCTTGAAGTGCCATCAGTACCATCGGTACTCTCTTTCTTTGCTGAAGACATCTACATGTGCCAATTGTACTTGAAAAGACCACATATCCGATAGATTCGATTCTCCATGTGGCTGTGCTAACTGTGGTGCAGACCACCCAGCATACTCCCGAATGTGTCCAGTGCAGAAGAAGGAAAAAGGACATAATTACATTGAAAGTGATCAAAAACATCTTCAGGTAGGCTAGAAGAAAGTGCTCATCATGCTGGGGTTCAACCTACGCTGATGCGGTGCGTAAAGGGGCAGCGTCGCACCAGCTTCCGCCACTTGCCTGGCCCGCGCAGAGTGAGCCAATGGCCCACTCTGCCCCCAAAGCGGCAGTAATTCAGTCTGCTCCATTAACTCGTGAACAGGAGCCGGCGACTTCAGGGCCGTCCGATCCCAAGGCCTTGTCACACCAGGCTAAGCCCCAAACTAGAAGTAAAGACCAACACGTGTGGTCTTCCAGTGCCTCTGTGGAGGCAATGGAAACGACACCGATACCTCTGGTGCCGCAACACAGGCGCGGTTCTCTGGACTGCGCCAAGCAAACAAAAAGAAGCCAATAATGGAGCCGGATAATGGTCC